GGAAAAAGACCCTGACCCCTTTTTCCATGTGTTCGGTGTCCTGTACCCATCAGAGAGAGGGAGGAGGGAGGGGGGTGGGTGGGGTGGGGTGAGGTCCAATCAGGGTAAAGAGAAACAGAGCTGAGATTAGAAGATTCAGGTTGATTAGAAAATATGAATACTTTTGGAGAGTAATGGAGGACTGTCATGGATATGAGGATGGAGCACATGTAGGAAAACAGAAACTGATGGGTTTGGTTCACCCAAAACCCCTCAAAAAATATCCCTTAGCCACAGTACGTCTGTGTGTGCTGTGCTAAATCTCAACATTTCAACCCACATACTTTATACTGAATTTGAATTATAAGCCAGCGGGAACGGCTGGAAACCCCACAGTTGCATTTCTCTGCCTACCAAAGCGCACTTTACATCCATGTCTCTCTGCGGGTAACTTTTTTACTATTTGAACATAAAAATGTTATAATTTTATAAATAACATATCCTTTTAAGCTATTGTGAGAAATGATATCACAGTGTGAATTAAGCCAAAAGCTCTCAGCGACTTTTAAACACCGACTACCAAATTCTAATCAGTTCGTGCTTGAACTTCCAAATTTAAAGACAATCCCCGAAAACCTTCAAAAGGTATCATGTCCTTGATTAAGATGAACAAAGTTGTCCATCTTAAGGTATACAAACTTATGGACACATGGATGGGCAGAGAACTGCAGACACCCGCTGCTCTCAGTGGTGTGAAGGGGAAAAAATAGGTGATGTCATGTAACAGATGTTTGTTAAACAGACATACTGTTTTATTTGTTTTCCTGTACAAGGAAGATTAACATCCAGTTCCTGCCTACACCAATGCAGCTGATATAAGTACTGATACTGTACGTTTACTTCCTAAGTTAGAATAGTTCCTATTGATGTACAAGGATAGTTGAAACCTCCAAAGAGGTCAACTTACCTTAAGATGAAGTTCACACGTGGCCAGATGTGATGAGAACTCTTACCTGGATTGTGACAAAACCCATCAGTTTGCAATGTCTGACGAGTAAAAGTGAAAGGAACATGTATCAAGGTTGAAAAGAAATCATCCTGAAATACTGTATCAACTAATGGAAATGAAGGAAAATAAAAAAAAAAGGTTGGGTAAAAGACAAGAAAGGGTTCCACATTAAAAAAAAAAGTAAGTAAAAGGATTTTGATGCAGTAAGTGAGGCTGGTCTGTGAGGCTCTTATAGGCTTCATGTTTTGTGCAATAAAGAAGCTGATACAGAAGTGCTGTATTCAGCAACAGTTAATATTACAGTTCCTTATATATTAGACAAATTGTTGCACTGTAATGTTAAAAAAAAAGGAAATCAAATGAGCTGCTTTGTTCAGACTGTTTAGATTTGTGATTGAGTCGCAGAGGAAGCCTTTGCTCATTTCACTGATTATTCCTGAGTATTAGTTCTTTATGTTCACTGCCTCAAAATTCTGCGCGCTGCACCGAAAATGTGAGCGCTCGAGTGAAGGACGAAATGTAACTTTTAAAACGTCGACCCTCAGCTCTCGAATCCGAGGCAGAGAAAACAAACGACAGTGTTTGAATTTTTATCTCTATATGCAAAACGTCTGAAATTATTTTTTAGCTGTTATAAATAGATGAAACGGACTCTTTGCATTGGGATTTTAGCACAACTGTGAAATTCAAATGGATTTTACACATGGATATTCCCACACTCGGTCACTAGAGAGTGCAAAAAATCCACCTTTTGCACTATAAACACGTATTTGGTATCTAGCCAATGGAGCGCTCTTGCAGTTTACATGTGAAGGAAGCGCCGGGCGAACTGTGTTCTCAGAAATGTTTACATTTGATGTCAGGGTTTGTTTAAAACACTGTATGGAGTTGATATTGTGAGATGAAAGCTGAATGTTTTAAGGGCTCCTGGAATCTTAAATATCACTTCTTTGTATGTCTCTCTGGTGGGATTTGTGTGCGTGTGTGTGCGTGTCAAGATAATCTTGGGTCACAAATGTCATTTAAACCATATGAATTAATAAACATCCACAGCTGTCTTGTCTGATTAATGTCTCTGCCTCTTGCCTCCTGCTACAGATGATAAATCCTGCATTTCCTGTGTGTGTGCAGGTATTCTGTGTGCACAGTACTGACTATAAACTGACTATGCCTACAGGCACATCCCCCTGTTGATCGTATTGTTGTCAGCACTTGGCCATGGTGGCGATAACTCCCTCCACGCCCTTTCTGCTTTCACTACTTATCTTCTTGTTCCACTGCAGAGGCCAGAAAGCAGGCGCTGCTGATAACCTGCAGCAGCAAGACAACAAACAAAGCACTCAGTTGACTGCTGGGTAACAAATGTTTCATACAGGAAGGAGCAGCAGTTGACCAGGTCTTATTTTTTTCTTAATAATATCAGAAGATGGCGCTAAGCAAAGTCAGGACTTTTGGTTTTAACATTAACCCATGTTTTCTGTACGAGCAGCAGAGTTAAACAAAAGAAAAGTCCCATTACACTGAAACTAGTGTTGAGCTGTGTTAAACGTTCAGCTCTGTGCGCATTTTAATATTGAAAGCTTGTTGCAGTTCAGTATTCAGAAGCATGATATGGAAACCTGAACCCACAGTACAGTAAAAAAAAAAAAAAAAGATATGATAAATCAGGAGTGTCAAACATAAGGCCCGGGTGTTCAAATCAGCCCGGCAAACACTCCAATGTCTCCCACTGGACAGCTTTAGAAAATTTGAAGGATATATTTTGAGTATATTTCAAACTTTTTACTGTATTTTAAGTCAGCTTTTCTGATTAATACAGACTTCACCCACCATCCATACCACACAAAAGTACAAGTACATTTTCTGGTAATTAATGAAAACTTTATAATCTAAATATTTAATTACAGGGCAGTCAGAGCGATGAACTTTACACATGTATCATTTAATCGCTCTGGCCCAGCCCACAATGTAGAATGAGTTTGAAACCACTATCATAAAACCTTAAAAGAAAATGACTTGGATATGAATACTTCATAAATACTTTTTTAGTTTAGTTTGTCATGTAACATCTTTATATAACATAGTGTTTTGGGGGGAAGATGACACACTTTTATTCAAATGTTCTTTCACGTGTGTTAAAACACATCTAAACTGACAAACCTTGCTGGGAGTAGAGTCTACTGACTTATTCTGCAGTCTGTCGAAGTTTCATTGTTTTTAGTTGTTCTCAAACTGTGGGACTGTGTGACTATGCCCCACTAACCGGGCATAGAGCCACTCGACAACCTCAAAAAATGAGGTAACGGCCAAAGTGTTACCAGTCTATGAACTATATGGGGCTGTTTCAGAAGCTAGATTATCTTAATGGGTCACAGGTCACATATGAGTGCAGTAAATTTAAATGGGGCCATGATTATCAGTGTACAGCATCCCCGCTTCTTTTAACAACAGTTTTCCTCTTTGCCTCAGATCTTTGGCCCAGTGTTTCCATGCCTTCTTCTTTGCATCACAGAGCTATTACCTGCATTTGTGGGTGTCTGAGGAACCAAAGATCTTTTCTCATCATCTACAGTATATAATAACATCAAAACATGGAAAAATCTCTGTGTGGAAGGGACAAACCAGAAAATCAATATTTGATGATGATGTTGATGATGAGATATTCAAAGCCTTTGCAATTTTATGCTGAGGACCATTATTCTGAAATTGTTCCACCATTTCAAATTGAGTCACCCCTGCCCTGTCCCAACCTGTTTGGAACTGGCATTTTTTTTAGTATATTTTCAAAACGTTCAAAAGAGATGATGAACATAAGAAAAATCTGTGTAGTTTTAACATTATGTGTCAGTTTGACCACATTCACTGACTTTACTATGGCTACATATAAATAAAAAAGTTAATAGCAAAGCTTTAAAAGTCCTTGTAAGGACAAAACTATAGCACTTTCATTGTTAGAAACCAAGAGACTTGACTGTCTATATATTTAACTTTTTTAATATATTTAACTTGGATTTGCAGTTAACTGATGAGTTTTTATAACTGATTCCCATGGACTGAATTTGAGCTTCTGTCGGCTGACTGACAAGAAGCGATTCCTCATGTTTCAAAGTGGGTTTTTTTTAAAATAAGGAATATATTTACTCATACAGTAAACAGACTGTAGTCAACAGCATTTATGAAGGTGTTATAAAATACACAACTGACATATCTGGCAAGTGTCTTTATGACTCTGCGTCATGGCACTTTCATAATAATCATTACAGCAATTTTTGCCCACTTAAGATATCTTTATGGAACTGTGATGTTGTATTTGTTGCACTTTCTGCTGCCCTCTTGGCCACATCTCTCTTGAAAAATACATTTTTTAATGCTGCTGATACACTAAGGATATATAAAAGTCACCTGAGCAAAAATGGATTGCAACGTGTACCTTGTGACATCGATGTTCTTTCAGGCTCAAAATGACTTGATATCATTCGTGAGAGATATGTTTGACAGATTATAGCCCAGCAAGCCATGTACAAGAGTTGTGTTGCGCTAAAAATATCTACCCCTAATTAAACGAAATGATTTTATTGGCCTACAATCTGTGATAGATGCTTACAAAACAAATGAGTTTTAAAACACAGTTTATTTAACAGTGCGTGCGCAGAAATTACACATGAGAAAACAAACAAACAAAAACCCACACAGAAAAATCGGAAATCCCTTTTTGACACCCCTAGTACGCATGCTTTACATGACGCTAAAGTTAGGGTTCATGTACTCATGTAACCACATACGTGAAGTATCTATAACAATGTGACCGCTGTTTCACCTTTTTTCTTGACAAATAACTTTGGAAGGTTAAAAAACATATCAGTCTTACATTATTTTATATCTTACATACCTTATTTTGAAACCACACAGCAATTTCCGGAAATTTTGCTATTTGCGCACACGCACACGCACGCAGGGTCGCTGAAAGTTTGCGCCCTTGCACCGCCTTGTTATTTTAAGCTCGCTAACATTTCATCAATGATTCACTCTGTGGAGTCCTGCCCACGTCCCCTCATGACGTGTGAAAAGCAGATGCGCTGACCTGAGATCAGCCTCAAGCTGCCACTGTGACTGCGCTCTGTTTGGAGTCCTGTCAGTGTGAAGCGCGCAGAGCACGGATCACCTCATCCTTCACACAGGTGAGCTGATCATTTCTGACCTATTCTGCGTGATTTATTCCTCGGGTCATTTTCTATATCCGGGGTAATAATAACAGGTGTACAGATAGTGTGGAGCGTCACTGTGGTGCTCATCATTATTGCACAGGTCTGTTTGTAAAACTTGCTAACAACCTCAGCCTGCTGGATATTTAGACACGTCCATATGTGATCTGTGTGATCGATCAGGGTTACTGATGATACTGTACTGATAGCCCCGTTAGGAAGTCTCTACATGTTGTCTTTAGTCCCAACTCTCACTCAGATCACTGACTTGTAGCTGAGCGTTTCCCTTCTTTAAAGGAAAGTCACAGTTTTCTAAGAAGGCTCTGTAATAGGTTTTTATACTTGTATGATTCAGTTTTCTATCCAGCTTTTAGTTTTGCGAACACGAGTCTTTCTGTGAGTTAGTTTCTGGTTTGCTCTGAGGATTAATCTCTGAACAGAGTTGTAGTTTTGCTGAGTGTAGCTTTAGTGGCAGATTAAGAGGTTATCATAACTGTCAATGTGCGTCATTTTAACCTCCTGTCACGTCCTTACCAAATGTGTCATTATTAAATAATGCATTAAGTTCGCTGTTATAGCCAAACTGCAGTCTATTTATTCACTTTTTTTGGGTTACATTTAAATGAACAATAGAGTGCTTTCTTCATATCAATCTTAATGTGGAAACACACTCTTAAAGTTAAAATTTGGCAAACTGGACACTTTTTAACAGCTAAAATTTTGAGCTGGATGTGGATCAGGCCAATTGGAAAACTTTTGGGTCGAACTCCGGCTCGTCCACTCTGCATGTCGAAATGTTCGAGTGCGTTAATGTTAGTAAAAGCACCGTGTGAATGTGTGTGATCAAGTTTAAAGACTTGTGGTAAGAAGCTTTTTTTAGTGCTCAAACTGACTAGAAAGGCATTATGTAAGTGACAGTCTGTGTCTATGAGAGTTCTTCATTAGTTGTAGATTATTTAATGTAGCATAAAATCGTTATTTTTTGGGTGTGAAACTGCACGGATTCGGTTACTAACTGGCCTTAAAATATTATTATATACAAACTACAATAAATGCATCTGCACAAATGTAATGTGACATTCAGCACCTCATTTGCCTATAAATAGATAAACAGGCCTAGGGTTCCTAGGAAAAGCATGACCTCAGATCAATGGGACTTTTGTTTTATGTGTGTGTATTTAGATGGATGTGCTTGTGTGTGTGTGTGTGTGTGTGTGTGTGTGTGTGTGTGTGTGAGTGAGAGAGATCTTGGTCATCCCATATGTTTTGACAGATATGAAAAAAGACACAACAATATTTAGCATATAAACATGTTCACCGACACGCTACACGCACACACACACACACACACACACACACACACACACACACACACACACACACACACACACACACACACACACACACACTTTAGAGGACATCGCACCGACTTTCAATAACTTTCTGAAAACTTGCCATAACCTCTAGTTTACGAAACATAACCCTCACCCTAATGTTAAGAGTAAAATTTACAGATTTTATTTTTGCGTCTCCTAACGCTGTAAAAATGTGTTCCCTTCATAACATTAGTAATGCAAGCACACACACAGACACACACTACACAAACACGAGGCCCATCACAGTCTTTCTGTTGTTCCAGCATCCTCTTCAGTACAAACCAGAACTACCAGCTCCTCTTGATCCTCAGGCTGTTGTCACATGAGGTGAGTTAACACCTGCGCAGGTTACGGAGGTTAGATGACCACGTTCCTCTGAGTCAGAGCAGATGAGTAGATTTTTTTTTACCTATAAATATTGAATATGTTTTACCCCTACAAAAGCTGCTGAGCCCACTGAATGTGAATATTTCTCCTCTCCTAGCAGGTCTGTCAAACACTGATGGGAGTGGAGTATAGTAACCATGGCACACTGTAATGTGAGTGTAATTTTATCATGATGCTTTTATTTTACTCTGTTGGGTGAAAGGGAAACGCGCCTGCAGTCCAGTCCTGCTTTGTTTAGCAGATGTCTAATGAGTGAACAGATATCGACATCTGGAGTGTCTTTGGCTTTCATGTCGCGTCGTATTTGATCAGGTCACACTGAATCAATATTTTAGAGATTCAGCACATGATCTCTAGCAGTGCCATTTGTTTGATGTGATCACTTAGGACGAGACAAATCTATGCATTTGTTGTGTTGCTCTTAACCTTTGATGGGTTTCCCTGTTTAAATGAGGCAAACCTCACGTATGTCTTTTCCTCTGGTTCTGGATTTTTAATTTCCAGAGTAGATTTTCACAAAATCCTAATCCACATAATTTAAACCTGAATAGATCAGACTTGAATAGACTGCTATTTAAAAGAGCGCAAGACCCAAGTGTCAATCTTCCTCTTTACTATAACTTTCGGCTGCTCCCTTTACCGCAGTCTCACCCCATCCCAAGCATTCTCCCCTGTCTCACCAACCCTCTGCATATCCTTCCTCAATGCATGCATGAGCCTCCTCTGTGGTCTTCCTCTTTTCCTCCTGCTCATCAGCTCCACTTAATCCTTAATCTGATATACCCACTATCCCTCCTATGCACATGTCCAGAGTCAGCCTTGCCTCTCTAACTTTGTTTTCACACCACTGAACCTGAGCTTTCCTTCTGATCTACTCATTGTTAATTCTGTCCAGGAGTCCACAAGCCACAGTACTCCCAGTGCTGGTCCCAAGCCTGGGTAACTGGGGAGTGTTGCATCAGGAAGGGCATGAAATCTTGACCAGATCAAACATACGGCTTACAGAGAATTATATTTTCTCTTCTTTACTAAATGGTGGTGCATAATGTTGAACATATCTTGATCCTTTTACATTTTTCTGGTATTTCAGTGTTCATATACAAAATCATCAAAAAGACCTGAAAATTGTAGTGTCTGGGCTTAAGATCAGCTCCGTTACGAGTCTGATCCTAATGCTTTGGATGTAGTTCTGTCTGACCATTTTTGTGTCTTCTTTGATGGTCACCCCAGTCCACCAAGCCACATTCAAAACTATTAGAAAGAGGAATTTCAATGAAAACACTAGTACTTTATTTATGCAAACCATTGGTATGATGTAATAGTGCAATAGCAGAGTCTGTGGATGACCAGCTCAAGCAGTAACTCTAACATTCTCAGGGTTCTTGACAACATTGCACCTGTCAAGGTTAACACTGTTTCTGGTAAACAGAAAGCACTGTGGAAAAATGTTATAATGGTAGCAGATCAAAAGAGAAACTACAAGAAAACTGAGCAGAAGCAGTCTTCAGACTGACAATGACATTTTTAATCAGTGTCTGTATCTACATCTTTGAGTTAATCCTACTTTACTAACATTATTAATGAAAACACCTGAAATACTCAGACTCTGTTTGCTGCTGTAGACAAACTAACAAGCCCTCCAGCACTGCCACTTCAAGAGTTTGTCTCAACCAAAAAGTGCAATAAGTTTTTTCAAGAACAAAATTCATACCAGAGAAAATATGTATTATACTCAATAATTAGCAGTAATTTAACGATGTCTGGCAGCACAGTGGTTAGCACTGTTGCCTCACTGCAAGAAGGACTATGGGTTTGAATCCAGCATCTCTGTGTGGAGTGTTGCACGTTCTCCTTGTGTCTGTGTGGGTTCTCTTCAATTACTCCAGCTTCCTCCCACAGTCCAAAGACATGCTTTGAGTGGGGGTTAGGTTAAGTGGTAAAAAATCTACCCGTAGGTGTGAATATGAGTGTGAGCGGTCGTCTATCTCTCTGTGTTAGCCCTGCGACAGACTAGCAACCTGTCGAGGGTGTACCCCGCCTCTCAACCTGAGTTGGATAAGCGGAAGAATTTGGATGGATTACAAAACTTTTTTTGTAATAACTGCTCTCTAGATACATCCCACAAGTTTCCTTAAAATACGTTTGAGCAGCTTTGCTCCTGAGCTCCTGAAAATTGTAAATTGCCCACACCTATTTTCGGCTCCCTGAACTGGCTTCCAGTAACATATAGAACTGAATTACAAGTATTACTGGTTGTTAATAAATCATTAAAAGGCTTGGGGCCCTAAATACATATCTGAGATGTTTAATGGATACAAACCCAGTAGATCCGGTCAGCTAGTGCACTGCACAGATCTTAAACTAAGCAGGATGAGCATTAATCAGAATCAGAATCAGAATCAGAATACTTTATTGATCCCTGGGGGAAATTATTTTTTGTTACAGTGCTCCATTTAAACCAACATTAAGACAAGACAGACAATACGCTAACTAAGAATAGTACAATATATACATATATATACATACATACATACATAGTCACTTATAAATAAATATTTGGAAAAGAAACATGTGTAGTTGTAGCAGCAAACAGTGTGTTAAGTGGATGCGTTGTACAGGGAGATGGCCACAGGCAGGAATGATTTCCTGTGTCGTTCAGTGCACAGCTGCTATGGTGCTTAATGCCACAACCAGCTAGCCCCTTTATTCATGATTGCTTTTAACCAGCAGGTAGCTGTGCCAACATTGTGTTTGCTGTTTTTATTTTTAATATTACTACTGGGATCATTTCTGCCTTTTCTTCTCTTCGTTTCATCTTTTTGGTTTTAATTTGATCTTCTAAAGTTTTTTGAATGGCTCTGGTGTTTCAAAGGTGCTAGACATGACCTTACCTTGTCGAGATTTTACTGCGAACTCCTTAGTTTCTGTATTTTTCATTCGATAATCGAATACATCGTGACATGTATCCTTTTCCTGCTGCTGAAGCCTATTTATAAATCAATTGAATCAATCTTTTTTTTTTTCCAGCTGCGGACACCACCTTCCTCTCCTCAAGATGATGTTAACCTGGGACCTTCAGCAAACCCAAAGTCAGTAACTCACTAACCAGCATGTAGCTCCACCTCCCCATTAACTTTCTTAATGTCAGATCGAAGCACCTCAAACAGAAACTTTAATTATCTACAGTCTGTATTTTATTAAGGAGATGTTGCTGTATGAGGAGAAACTCTTACCAGCATTATATCCACGATTTATATCCTGTTAGTAATAAAGTATCTCAGAAGTTATTATGTAATTTTAATACATTACCTTCTTGTTTCAGTGCCAGGCCCACTGACTTTGACTTCTTGGCTGTCATTGGCAAAGGGACCTTTGGAAAGGTAACACTGAAACAATTACTTATTTATAGATCCATCTTTCTGCTGTTTAATACATCTCCTGGCTTTTTTTCCTCTCGGTCATTTCCTTGTTCTACCTCCTTCAGTTCACTGAAGGAGGTGCAGCGGCTGCAGCGGCTCCTCGAGTAAATTTTTTCCTTTTTTATTAATAAATAACAAATCCAGTTGAAGGTATTAATGGTATTAATGCAAATGAATAAGGGTTTTACTGTGCTGACCTTGTGAGACAAGTGAGAGGGCGTTAGAAAGAAGGAGAGAGACTACATAGCGTGCAGTTGCTGACATTGCAGCGGGGGTCAGTGAGAGTCTACCTGCTGACTACTGTCTAATCGAAATGTGCGCCTTTCTTCATGAATCATTAACTGTACAATCCACTGAGGCCTCTTTCGGTCTCCTGAGCGTCGTCCAGTGGAACATAATAAATATGGACATTCAACTCCTAAAGATCTTAAAAAATAGGCGTTTTTGTGGCTTCATGTCCACCTCAGGCCTTTTTGCTCTTTGTGTCAACAAACTTATCAGATTTCTCGGTATTATCTGGTTCCACAGACGACATATCTGTGCTGCGTGCGCTACTTTCATGTAATATCCTGAAAGCAGAATGCTGAGATGGTGGTGCAGACTGTTTGCTAAACAAGGCACTAACAAGTGAACCTCCATACAGGTCCTGCTTGCCAAGCATAAAGCCGACAGCAAATTCTACGCTGTCAAAGTCCTGCAGAAGAAAATCATCCTGAAGAAAAAAGAGGTGGGCTCTGCTGTCACTGTGTTAATGTGTTTTATAGGTCCAGTAATCCACGTTTAGTTGAAATGCATTTTGGAATTGTGTCAGGATAAGGAGGTGACGATGGAAAATAACTGTCCAAGGGTTCCCTCTGTGATAGTGAGGATCTTTGATAGTTGTTAGAGTTTTTACCTAGCAACAGGGTCTCAGGCTTATCTAATCTACAGCTCTGTACAAAGAACAGATTTTATTGCCTCCAGAAAAAAAAGCCAGGCCAGGTGTTTGTTAGACAGCATAATTGCTGATTAGACAAACTGATTGTTATTACTGACCATGCTCGCTGGCAACCTTCTTCCTCAGTCATCCCTTTTTGTCATAAAGTGACATTAAATGAAATAAAATAATGTAATGAAATAAGCTTTTCATAGTGTGAAAGATAACTTGCACATCACTGTTTTAATTACTTTAAAAAGGGGCTCAAATAATGTTTAATGAGTAATTAAAAAAAAAAGTACACATATTTCAACTGATTTCAGTTAGCAGCATGAAAAGAAGTCATTGATGTGCTTCTTTTGGTCCAGAAGCATGTGAGCGCAGTAACTCCAGGGCAAAAAACAATCACATTATTCATGCTTTTTTTTAGTATCTACATCATCACATTGGATTTTAATTTGGACTATCAAAATGTGATTAAAGTGCAAACTCTCGGGTTTTCAAAACCTTTACATTAACTGTTTATGAATTACAGCCATTTTTTAAATAAATTACACAGGATGTGTGTTAAACATGTTTCCTTTATTTTCCTTTTTCTTTGTATTATTTATGCATCATCACTGCAAATATATTCTGTGAATTATAAACAATATTTATTTATGTTCGTACGTGCATTTCAAATTTTATAGTGAAATAAAATGATTTAAGGCCTTTTTGTCAAAAAACATGGAGCAGAAAAGCTCCAGAACTTATTTTTCTCCTTTTCCCTCTTTAGCAAAAGAACATCATGGCAGAGAGAAACGTGCTGCTGAAGAGCCTCAAACACCCGTTTCTGGTTCGGCTTCACTACTCGTTTCAGACTGTAGAGAAGCTCTACTTTGTCCTGGACTATGTAAATGGCGGAGAGGTACATGCGCTAACATACATAAATAAATCGTTTCCACTTACATAGTTCATTAGACTTTGTCAGAAAGTGGCTTGGAGCGTGGTGAATATCAGAGTTTTCAGAGATTTCTTTTTAAAAAAGTACCTGGATCTTTTTTTTAAATAAAAATGTTTTGAGTTGTCTCTTAAATGAGCTGAATTTAACATTAAAGATTGTAGACTGTAGCTTCATGGTTTGTTGGACTGTTTCAATTAAAGGTGCTACGTTAAAAAGCAATGACATTAGATGCTCTCTGTAATAAATAAGGTCACTGTCAACAAGACCGATGCCTTGCAGCCCGTATAGCGGTCGGATTCCAAAATCTGTTCAGTACACTTATGACACAAACTGTTTCCACTTGTACAGGATATATTAGTAATTTCCTGGGTGACAGGAAGCAATTAGATTTATTTGTTTACTGTAACAAGCATCATCAGTGTACGAAGTACTGCTGTCATCACAAACAATCTACCTCTAGCTTATTTTTGTTCTCTTTTGTGTAACTGCTACAAATTCGCTTTTTTCTTGCTAAAACAGTAAAGATTAGACAAAGTGCAGTACAACAGATGATTTCCACAAGCTTTCAATTCTTGCTAGTTTTATAGTGTTATCATAGTCAGCCTACAGGTACAAGAGTGAACCTTCCCGTCACTGAAACAAAAGCCCACAGATTAGAAAATGTCTTATCTAAAATCTTAACATATTTCCGTCTACTGATCAGATGGTTTTTATTTCACCTATTGTGCAAATTTGTCCACATTTGTAATGATGAAGCCTAAACTGAAACTGGTATGAGACATAGTTGATGTCATGTTGTTGTTTTCCTCTTGTTTGCTGTTGCAGCACTCAAAAAGCAAAGCAAGTCAAAACCTTTTTTATACCGAGCTTTTTCCTGAGACTTTGGAAGTGTCTCATCTCTCAATGCATTGAAAATTTTCAATATAATTTTATTTTCTTCTTTCCGCCCGTCTTTCTCTTTGTGTAGTTGTTCTTCCACTTGCAGAGAGAGCGGTGTTTCTCAGAACCCAGAGCGAGATTCTACACGGCTGAGGTAGCAAGCGCCATCGGCTACCTTCACTCTCTCAACATTGTTTACAGGTTAAAGAGACGCTCGAACGTTTATTGAAACCTATCGTTTATCAAAAATTGAAAATACAAAGTAATAATATGTTTTTGCACTGACGGTCTGATTTGTTCTTGTTCATTGTAGAGATCTGAAGCCAGAAAATATACTTTTAGACTGTCAGGTGAGTCAGGATCAGCCCATTTGCTTTAACACTTTAAAGGGGAAAAAGGCTTTATTTGTGTTTGTCACTCACTGTTTTGTGTGCGCAGGGCCATGTGGTGCTGACAGATTTTGGGCTGTGCAAGGAGGGTGTGGAGCCAGAGGCAACCACCTCGACTTTCTGTGGCACTCCAGAAGTGAGTAAAAAACTTTTTCAGTAAACGTTTACGAAGCATATTTTAAATTCACATTCACTGGCCACTTTATTAGTTACACATTGCTATTGTTGGGCTAGACACCTTTTTCTGCCCTCAGAACTGGCTTAAATCTCCATGGCATGCATTCAACATGGTGCTGGAAACATTACTCACATTGCTTGGTCTTTTTGTATATTTAATTTTTTGGCCTTTTTCAGCTTTATTTGATAGACACAGTGAAGAAAAGACAGGAAAGCAGAGGCACAGAAAGAGGGGGGGGGGCATGCGGCAAAGGGCCGCGGGTCGGACAAGGGCCAGTCGCTCTCAGCCGCATGGCTGTGATGTGGTCGCCTGCTCAACACACTGAGCTAAACCTGCACCCTGACTTTGGTCTTTATTGACATGACTTGATCACATAGCTGCTGCTGATCTGTCGGCTGCACATCCATGATCCATGAATCTTCTTGTTCCACCACATCCCAAAAGCGCTCTACTGGTCTGAGATCTGGTGTCTGTGGAGGCCATTTGAATAGAGTGAACTCATTGTCATGTTCAAGAAACCAGTTTGAGATTATTTGGACTCTGACACATGCCTCACTATTTTGTTGGAAGCAGCCATCAGAAGATGACTACACACGTGGTCATAAAGGGATGGACATGGTGGGCAGCAATCCTCAGGCAGGCTGTGCTATTTAAACGATGCTCAGTTGCTACTAAGGTGTGCAAGGTGTGCCAGTAAAATATCCCCCACACCATTATACCACCAACAGCCTGAACCACTGATACAAGGCAGGATGGATTCATGTTTTCATGTTGTTTACAATCCAAATCAATTTGTCGCAAAAAAAAAAAAAGGTTTTTCTGTGTAGGCTCAGTTTTACTAACAGGAGCAGGACCTGGTGGGTGTGGTCTTCTGCTACTGTAACCCATCAGCTTGAATGTGTTGTGTGTTCAGAGATGCTCTTTTGCGTAATTTGCTCGTAACAAGCGGTTATTGGACTCACCGTAGCCTTCCTCTGACCTCCAGCATCAACACAGCATTTTCACCCAGAGAGCTGCAGCTCATTGGATGTTTTGCATGAAAATCCCAGCAGATCAGCAGTTTCTGAAAGATCAGCCTGTCTGGCACCAACAACCATGTCAAGCCATTTAAATCACCTTTCTTCCCCATTCTGGTGCTCTGTTTGAATGTGAGCAGATCATGTGGACCATATCTACATGCCTAAAGGCAAAGAGTTACTGGTGGGCTGATAAGATCTTTGCATTAGCAAACAGTTGAACAGGTGGACCAGATAAAGAAGATTGCATTATATAAACACAAGCATGCAGACTATGGGTGAACAATAGTTTGTAGGAAGCAAATGTTCCCTGATAACCCAAAGTTTGGATCGTTTCATTTTTTTTTCTCTATCATGTGTCTAAAGTATTTGGCGCCAGAGATTCTTCGTAAGGAACCGTATGACAGGACAGTGGACTGGTGGTGCCTGGGAGCCGTGCTGTATGAGATGCTCTTCAGTCTGGTATGCGTATTTGTTTAGGGTTTATGGATTATGAGTTTTGGCAGTACTGTACTGTTGTTAATTTTTTACCAAGAAGTAGTCTTCCGCAAAAGTAAGACACATTATTTTGGTGGTACTCACAGAAAAAAGTAGTTAAAGGTTAAAACCATCCTCCTATATGTGGATCCAAATTTGACCTCAGTTTTTAGTAGACCTTGTCGTAAATGGTCAAAGAAAGGTTTTGGACAAGGTGTGTTTTGTTAAACATCTTAAAGACACAGACTGATTGAATTTTGAGTTACATTTTATGAGGAATTCTTTTCCCTTTGTCATTTACTGGGCACGCAGCCATGATGACTTCCTGGTAGAAACTGCTAACATTTTTTCTCTCGTTTCCCTTAAAAAGAAACTTGATATGTTACATATGAATGATATTTATTGCATCCCTTCTGTTCAGCCTCCTTTCTACAGCCGTGATATTGGTGAAATGTACGATGGGATCCTTCACAAACCGCTGATGCTGCCTCCGGGAAAGTCTGAGGCCGCCTGCTCTCTGCTGATGGGTCTTCTCCAGAAAGACCAGCACAGACGCCTGGGAGCCATCGCAGACTTTGTAAGTCTTTCGGTCTTTGCTCCATATTAAAACAGATGCTTTCCCAGACAGGATATAAGCCTAGTCTTAGAATAGGGATAACTGCAATAAATGTTGGCGCAAATAAAAGCTGGGTGTAGTCTTTATTTAAGAGTTTTGGATTTCTTTTAAAGAGAGCTCCACACCCAAGCCCTCTGATAACATTTACCTTGCATGTAGCAGCTATTGGCTTTGTTCTACATGATTCACTATATGTGTGATTTTGTTTTTATGAAAGGCATGAAAAAGTTAAGCATGTGAAGTTTTTTCTTTCTTTTATTTATAGTTAGAAATAAAGAACCACACTTTTTTCACTCCGATCAACTGGGACGACCTTTACCACAAGAGAATCACCCCTCCTTACAACCCTAATGTGGTGAGTTGCTGCTCCGCCTGCTCGTGTCTTTTCTGTGTGCCTGCCTCGTCATATGTGACTTTATTAACCACTTATCTCCACCTTAGCTGGTGTTCTGTTTTCTTTCCACTCACCACAAATGTTTCAGAGCGATCAGCCAGTAAAACCCTCTCAGATCTGTTCCTGAATCTCTTTATCCCATCTTATGTTATTATCTAGCTAAAGATTAATGCAAGGAAATCCCTCTGACCTTTTGCACTCTTAGTCATTATGTAGTTGAAACTCTTTTACTTGTTGCAAAGACTGGTGTGGCTTTGCTTCTCAATCACTCTACATATGAAATAGAAATATATTATACTTTATATCTTTAATGAAAATAAGGATCATTTATTGTGCTTCTAGGCTTTTTCAGTATATTGATGTCAACGAGTAAGCTGATCTGAATTTACTCACATGCATCATTTAATCGATTACTATTTAAACTTGGTTTTAACACCAGCTTTCAGAAGTTTCTCTAGATCAGTGTTCACTAGTTAGACTTAAGTTAGACAAATGGGCCTGTGCATCGCTGTATATTAGTTTTACATTTAGGACACCTTGTCATGCATTGTATATAATGCATATAATAGCAGTCATCCTTATTTACACTTAAAATTGTTTCATCTTTCAGAGGGGCCCAGCTGACACTCAACATATTGATCCTGAGTTCACCAGAGAAATGGTTCCTAACTCAGTGAGTCAGACCCCAGAGTTCAATCCCAGCACCAGCTCCAGCAACGCCTTTAATGGGTTCTCCTTTGTCGGCACCGAGGACAGCTTTCTGTGACATCCGGACAGATGAATCGCAGCTAACTGTTTAAATGATTTTTTAGCGCAGAAATCTTGTTCATTATTATTAAAAGTTTTCTCACAAAGATAAGTGTTCCTCATGTAACACAGCAGGAATCCCACATGACATCGGTCATGTTTGACCGCTGCAGTGAAGCGAGTATGTAGCAGAAAGGGCAAGTCTGCAATGCAGACACTGTTCGAAATAAGTTCAAGTTCGAAATATGTAAAACGTCTTGTTTGGGGGGGTCCCGTGTTTAGGATATACACAAACAAGTTATGCAGTTGGAGTGTCCTTAAAATGTAACAAGAAGTGCCTTTATTTCAGTTATTTGTAGAGAAATGAAGAACACATGAGTCCGGATAAAGACAAAACTTCTTTTTCTTTGTATTTTTTTAAAGGCTTTAGCATATTGTACCTGCACAAAACACCATCTTTGTGTGTCTATATCAAGACTTAGCATTGTTGCTCACTGATCCTGTTTTTATAGAAAGTAGATCCTGATGAACATGTTTTTTTAAATTAAGCAACGGATAATAATCATGGAGTCCAGCACTGAGTTAAAACAGGGAATAATAAAAAAAAGAAAGAAAAAATACTACAAGAAGAAATTCATATATTTTTAAAAAAAACTTTCTTACTCTTAACAGGTTAGATAGTAACAATTCTAGTGCAGTGCTTTGCTTTTTAACATCAGTTATCAGTGCACACTTGGCATGTTTTCCATCCATCCATCCATCGTCATCCGCTTTGTCCGGGGTCGGGTCGCGGGGGCAGCAGCCTAAGCAAAGGCATGTTTTCTTCATTTGTTTTTATCTTTTTGTCACACGGTGCTACTGATGATTCTATGCAGCATGTTTCTCCTTAAAGACCAAAAAAAGGATTAAAAAAAATCTTTGACCAAAGAAGGAGAAAAAAATGTTGAAAAGTAATACGAGCCATGCTATTCGCAGTGATAAAACAGTGAAGGTGGCATAGCTGGGTGCGAAACACTGGCTACTAGTTATTGCAGCGGTGATCATAGCTGCAAATGTACTAAATGTCCACACTGATTTGCTAATGATGCACTGATGCAGTACCTTTGACTAACTTCAGTCAGTCAGTCAGCTATGGCTCTGTGTGCACGATATAGTCGTTTATTATGAGGATTATACAGTAGTCATGATCAAAGTATTCATTTGTTCTTTTGTCTGTAGATATAAGTTTAGCTTCACTGGTTTATATAACAGGTTGTTGCCATGTCTTTGTGGAAATACGGTGTCGAGTACTGTAAATATACAGCAGCAGCTTTGCAGCAGGATTATTACAGTACTACTGTGATTATATCAGTGTAAACTGTGAAGTGCCTCTCTGACTTGGCTGTGAAGTTGGTGATGGCAGTTGTAGGTGATACAGTTAAAAATGTACAGTCAATAACATGTCCTTGCATTCTGTTTTTATAATTCTATTCATATACGCCTGAAGTCTTGTTTGTGTATGTATTCTGGTTTCTGAACATAGCACGCTGATATTTACCTCCTTAAAAACTTGTTAATCTTGTTCAATATTTCATCTTAACAAATGGTGTATCACATGCTTTACTGTGAAACCAAATACACTCATGTACCCGCATGATTTCTGGAGTGACAGCTGTCATTTTTTCCTCTAAATCTACAAATGGTCTGTTGCTCGTAGGGGTCAAATTCTGGTCAGACCTTTAAAGTTGTAAAGCTGTGTGCCGAGCTGCCGCTCACCATCAGATCTTGTAAACACAGGAACTGCTGGGTCACGCTGCCAGCAGCGGCGCCATACGTGACCGAAACCAACATTAGCAAAAATCCACCTATGCGTGTTAATAACTCAAATATTTGCCAAAATATTTACGTGTTCTTTTGCTTGCATCGTTTAACGTGACCGAACTATGTTTTTGATCATTCACTTCAGTCGTCGACCAGCATGTAAAAATGTCAAGCTCTTCCTGGTGGTGACCTGCGACAGGGTTTATCTACTAAAGATTGAATCAGAGGTTAACGTGGGATTGAAGACTTTAAAAAAAGGTCAAAAGTAGAACAGACCTGTATAACAAATGAGGGATTCAGTGGACCAGAGTCTGTGATGCAATCAATCAGCAGTCATGGTCACCCTCCTTTAAAGCAACAGTTTCCTTACTGTAAGACAGTGATAGCTTCTTGTGCTGAATTTATGTTTTGGTGCGACTATGTTTCAACAAAATGTATTCATCCATAAAGAGATCCTAAAGGCAACCTCTAAATCCAGAAGCAGAAAACACACTCAGCAGGTAGTGCTGAAGTTTTATACAGAAGACATTATTTTTTTAATAAACAGCTTGGATATGATTTGGAATTTTGCTATTTTTGAAGTCCGAATATAATAATTTCTGATTATCTTTCCATGCAATTAAATTTAAAAGCCCACATCTCTTACGTTTGGGATAGGTAAATACAATATTACTTCTACTTAGACATGAATAAAGACAAAGCACAGGTGAAAGTCATACAGACTGGAAGTTATTGTGCAACACGTTTGAAATGACATGCGCCACCACACAATTGCTTCAAAGTCCTTTTGGCACCACATTTTATTTTATTACATAAACATAACTCTGCTCAACTCGTCATCGATCCAATGATTCTCATTGGTTGATTGTTTTTGCCTGCTTTCTTTTTCAGTTGTGAGAGAGCAGTTATGACAGTGGAAAAACAAACAAACAAACAAACAAACTTGCAGTTGTTGAACTGAGGAGATGCAGATAGATTGGAGACATTTCTCACTTTGCAAAGCAGGAGAAGAAGATGGCTTTTACAGGCCTATAGCTTCTACCTAAGTGGACATGTCAAAATGTTTTCATTGGGAAAAGACAAAAAAATCAGGAAACAAAATTAAATATAGAATAGGATTGTCTCCAGTTCCATCCCTGGGCTTCATAGGTAAAGTAAAGACTCTGCTGTGCTTTCCTATTTCTGGTTATTGCTACTGAGCCACAACGGCACTCAGCTTCCACATGTATTCAAAGTGGGAATGTCCATGACTGTAAAGAGGGAAATGCCATAGTATTGTAATTTCAGTGTAAGCGATGACATGTTGGAAAACTGGTTATGTAATAGATATGTAATATACGACATACTGTTATCCAGATAATCCAGATATTACACTTTTATAGCAAGTTAACAAAGTGCTTTCCAAGAAGAACTAAAAACACAGTTAGAAGCTGCACAATAAACAATTGGTATCAACAAAGCAATGTAACATAATAAAACAATAACTGCGTTTATCAAACTGATATAACAGTGAATAATTAAAAGAGCAAAGGAAGTCTTTCATTGATTCTGGATATTCATTTATTCTCCAAAAGATTTCATATACAACAAGCTTTAACTGACAGCCTTGGGTGAGTCATCTGTATATGATGGAGGCTTTGTCTCTTTTTCATCACCGATCGTATCTTCTCAGATTTCATCACTTTATGCTTTTTATTATATCACCACAAACTTATCTAAGTGAAGCGCTGCAAGCTGTGGTCACATTAACCACCAGAGACTCATTATTTTTTCAATTTTTCAGGTGAGATTAACAGATAAATTATTAATCCAACAGTGAAACATGTTCACCTCACTGAGGAAAGTTGAGAGTTATTAACAGCTCGCCATCACCTTGGTAGAAGTGCCCCACTTAGTGGTCAAAAATCACCAACACTGCACATGAAAACTGCTCACTCAAGCAGAAGTCAAAGGGGTGCAGTGTACACACAGAAACATGTTTGCAACTTGTATGGTTCTCAGTATCATTATGTGGACAACAGAACCTGTCGTGTCCCAGAGTCTTCTTTGGATTTCAGTGTGACCTTAAGCTGAAAATACAGGATCCAACATAAACACTGAAACAGTTTTTTTTTAATTCAACACTGCAAACATATAAACTTTATAAATTATAGGAAACACACAGTGTGAAACTGCACCAACGATGAGGAGCCAGTGGTTCCTGAGCAACACTGCTGCAAAGGGTGAATTTTGGACGACACCTTATCATCCACCGGCATCCTCATAAGGATGTAGACATCAAACTTGCTTTAGGTAAATTGATAACCAATAAATAAATATTAGGGAGGATAAAACAACATAAACATGCCGTAAATAATGATATTTATTATCACGCCTTTTTTTAAATTAAAAAATAAAAACACTAATTTCAGCCTCCATCTTTACTTCGTTCCAGTCTTATAGAGCGGTTTACCTGGTTCACAATTCAAAATAATCTTTATTAATCTGATCCTGGGCTTTGGTGTAGGTCCTGGGTTCATCTGGGCTATGAAATAAATCATTTTAGCTCTCTTCACTCTCCCTTTAAGCCAACTTTCTTTGGATAGGCTACCTCTAGTAAGCAGAATATTCGAACTGTTGGTGGATAGGGCTTCTGTGCTTCTCCCAGATCTGCCTGGCTGTCTGGGGTAAACATATTGAGGACAGCCAAAGCCAAAGGTTTAGAATTTGGTCATGTTTATTTTGAGCATCTACCTTTGTAAAAGCACATACTTGATAAAAATAAGGAAAAGGCTTAACATGAATTTGTGGAGCACTTGTATGCTTCCTGTGGAAACTGGTGTATAAACAAATAAGAACCGGTCATACAGTAAAACATAGTTGCATGATATGTATTCATAGGACAGGCTGATTCTGGTGCTGCTTGTAGTTTGAAAGGGAGTTCTTCCTTCCCTCTGTCACCAGGTGGTTGCTCATAGAGGGTCATGTGATTGTTGAGGGTTTAAAAAATAAAAAAATATTGTAGAGTCTTTACCTTACAAAATAAAACTGAATTGAAATGAAAATGAATAAGAGATTTTAAGATATAATACAACGCCATGACATAAACAAAACAATTATCCCCATAAATAGGGGACTTAAACTCTTGCCATAGACAAGGTATTTACATGGATCTTAAAATGAAATTAATTTAATAATGGATGAAGTTAATCTCTTATTATTTTGACGCTATCTTTTGATAACAATGTGCGTTATATACATTTACATAAATGGCAATGGTAATCATCAAAACGTTATTATAACTTTAAAAGGAGGCTTTCTTATCTTAAAATGTCCATTTTTAGCAAGCACAAGTAGTATTTGCCATTTTAAAGACATTACAGGCAGAACGTTATTGAAACAGCTGCATAACAATTAGCCTACCAAGTGCCCCACTAAAGGTTTTATGAGGAAGTTATTATTACGTTAGAATATATTCAGTGGTACATTAATGTTTTGATGTGGGCTTTTTATTTTCTTAAAGTCTTTTTACAAATGTTAAAGCCGAAGTCGTGCATGCAGTGTAACCAGCCTGTCTTTTGAGCAGCCGTTAGCAGCAGCTCACATGGGTCGTTTCCGGGAAATGTGTGTAGCAGCTCTGCAGCAGTGGTGCTCTTGAACAGACCTTTAGTATATCGTCCCGGCTAAATTTCAACTGATAAAACGCCAGCAGCTCCCTGTTACTGTCTGTAGATAACCAATACAAACCGCATTAAGCATATATTACATGGAAACAATGATTTATTGTGGTTGCTAATTTCGGGTCTTCATCGGGACCGGGGGACTGAAGGGACAGAGGAGTTATATCGCGCAGGTAAGTGTGAGAAATGTGCATGTGTGTGTATATTCTTGGTGTCTTTAAAAAATAAACAAACAAGCAATATATAGGTATATGATACTCTGCGATAGCTGGAAATGTTTCACAAAAGAATATTTTATTTGTCGTTATATTTATCACGCAGTTGCAGAGCTTGTTTGTGTTTATGGCAGTGAGTGAAACTGTGATTTCCTCCAATGCCGTCAAGTTGTGAGCTGGAAGGGCTGAACGCGACTGTTTTCCAGAAGCACTTACACAATGTTAGATTTATTTAAACATGTCCGCGTTATCTCTGCTTTCGTGTCGGCTAAATGTGCCTGTTACGACTTCCACTCCTGATGAAAGCGTTGCATTGGGCAGGCTTGTTTTTATCCCGCACAAGCGCCGCTAGAGGCGCTCTACTTGCTAAATTAACAGCTAACGTTTTCTCAAGTGTGCTCACTGGATCTGCTATCAGAGAGTTAGCTTGAAGTTGCAACCAAGTTTAAATGTAAGTTCTGCAGCTTTGCGTTATATTTTTGTTCGATCAATTGCAATAACTTTGTTTCGAGAGTCGCACAATGTACTGTTGTAGATAAGGTAACAATTTGTTTTCACGGCGATTTAATTGTTGGGTTGGCAGAAGCTAATGTTAGCTACTTAGCTGTGGGAAGTTGTTAGCTCTTAGCTGAATAGCATGCATGCTTGTTTAACTGGTTGCTGGAGAGCAGGTGAAATACAGCAGTTAGATCTGTGATAATGTGCTGATATTTTGATATTGTGTAATTGAGCAATTTTACATATTAGTGCTATTTCTTCAATTTGTAAACTCTGTAACATATTGTATTATTTAAATAGTGTAGTCTGTTACTGTTACTGTCTTGGAGCAGCTGTAATCCAGATAATTTCCTTAGAGAGAGGGTAGAATTAAGACTCAAAAATCAACTTTACCAGTCAATAAATAATTACTCAATGTGTGTTATATTTGAAATGTACTCAATAAATGAATGAAATTCATTCCAACCCATTTACACTGTAGTTATTATTAGAATGGTGACTGCTTAGGTTAAGAGCATTACAGACGACTATATTGTGTTACTTACTTTTTTCTTTAATTAATTTTGACATTAAGGTTACTTCTGTATCAAACAGTTGCTCTATTTAAATTGCAAAATATCACTGATGGGTTGCTTGCTTTAGAGACAGATAATGAAATTTCTAGGGCACTTTTTTGAGTACACCTTGCTAGTCCTGGTTTAGACCCCCTTTTTTCCTCGGCTGCCTTAATTCCTTCTGGCACAAATTCAACAAGATGCTGGAAACATTCCTCAGAGATTTTGGTTTATATTGAATTGGAAGCACAAAGTACCACACAGTTAGTGCATATTTGTCTGCTGCACATCGACGAGGTTCCCATTCCACCACATTCAAAAGGTTGTCTGTTGGATTGATGTCTGGAAATTGTGGAGGCCATTTGATTTCAATGCACTTCAGTTTAATTTATATAGCCCTTAATCACAACAACAGTTGCCTCAAGGAACTTTATATTGTTAGGTCAAGACCATACAATAATACAGAAGAAACGAAGAAAACTGCAACAATCATGTGACCCTCTATGAGCTAGCACTTTGGTGACATTAGGAAAGAAAAACTCCCTTTTTTTAAGAGGAAAAAAAGAAAACAGTTTCAGATGATTTGAGCTTTTTGGTCATCTTTATGAAAGCAGCCATCAGAAGATGGGTAGACTGTGTTCATAAAGGGATGGCCATGGTCAGCAGAAATACAGAGGTAGGCTGTGGCATTTAAATAGTTCTCAGTTGGTACTAATGCCTCTTTTCCACTAGTACCTACTCAGCTTAACTTGACCTGGTTTTTAGGGTTTTCCATTAGGTGGTAGTATCTGATACCAGGTACTTTATTAGTACTTGCTCGGCTGGGGTTCCAAGTGAGCTGAGTCGATCTGAAAATGTAACAGCAACTGACTACATGCCAATGATCGGTCAGTCAGTGGTGTCGCGACTTTTTCACAGAGCCGCCATTTTTAAAAGGCATACACCAAGCAGCAGATATACCGTTGTCTCGACGTCCTCCATTATTGCATTGTGTTTGTGTTGCATACAAACAACATCATGGGACTTTCGGTGACATTACTGCAACGACCCGTAGCACATTGAGGTGGTACTCAATTGTAATTGAAATCAACCTTAACTGAGTGAAGTCAAGTAGGTACTAAGAGAAAAAGGCTTAGGTAATACAAAGCAGGAAGCATCATTTCATGTGAATACTTTATTCTGACCATAATTTTTGAATGCTGCAACATTGTTCCAATTTTCTGTCCAGTTTTAGCCTCAGTTTTCTGTTCTTAGCTCTCAGGAGTGGCACCTCATGTGGTGGCCTGCTGCCTTAGCCCATCTGCTTCAAGGTTTGATATGCTTGCATTCCCAATTGTAGCGGGTGCTTGAGTTAATGTTGCCTTCCTATCAGCTTGAAACTGTTTGGCTATTCTACTTGAACCTCTAGTATCAACAAGGCAATTTTGCTCTAAGAACAATTGCTCACTGGATATTTTTTCTTTTCTTTTTTTTAACCATAGTTATTAGACAGCTCTTTAGCTGACGTGACTTAGATATGTATGTCGAAAAAGATTTTGCTGTTAATTTGCTCTGTAGTTTATTTTCTTTAATAATTTTGACACATCTTATGTGATTTTTAAAGTTCAAACAACAAATATGCCAACACTTGCATACTTCATTCTTAGTGCCTTCATTTTTAATATCTGTTACATTTACAATAGATTTTGGTATTGACTTGCAAAAATGTAGATCTCAGTTGATACTGGATCTTTAGGGATTAACATAAATTCAGATATCTATATATGAATTCATATTCTCTATTTACATGGAGTATTTCAGAGATCTATTGAAAATAGCAATGAAGTCATTGTTTGTTAACTTGTCCTTAAGATCACAGTCTGCTCAACTGTGAATTGTACTCTGCTGCATATGCTGCAGACAGTACTGAGTGTATTGTAAATGATGGCTCTGGAGTTATTTGTTTGGGTTTAATGTCAACCATGTCATAGTCAGTGTTCATCGCTGAGACATCTGAGCTCTCTTGTGTGTCTTTGCACTTGCACTGGGAAATTTAAATAAAGTAAAATATTTATGTTTGAGTTATTGGTTATCTTTGTGTTTGCAGCATGGACGATGAGGGAGATGATAATCTATGCTTTGACACTGACTCAGATTTAGTAGAAAATAAGGACGGTACCAGGTGTCAAGTCAAATGGACTCAGGAAGAGGTAAGTTGAAAGAAGTCTCAGGACAACCTTTTCTCTTCCTACAGCATCTTGATTTTCACATAATTTATTCAGTTACTGTTACTAATGTCATATTGTTGGTTGTTTTGTGGCTCATATTAATTAACTACCTGGCTAACTCAGTATCTGTAAATGTCGTTGTAATGTTTTGATGGTAACCCATGTACTGTGTTTGGACTTATTTTCTCTGACATTTAGGATGACAATCTCAAAATTCTGGTCTGCAACATTGGAAAAAAAGATTGGAAAACTATTGCTAGTTTTTTACCAGTAAGTTTTGGTACATGCAGACATTGTTCAAGAATAAGATGAATAACAGCAGTGAATTCTGACTTAATACAGCGTGACATGTCTTGTTCCTTGTACAGGGGCGAACAGAATACCAGTGTATGCACCGCTGGCGAAAATATCTGGATCCTGACTTAATTAAAGGCTTCTGGTCCAAAGAGGAAGATGAAAAGGTGGGAAAATGAAAAACATGGTTTTAGTTTGGATATTTTCCTTTTTTTGTTATTTAAATTCTGTTTTTACTTTTGTATTTTTCTCTGGATAGATAGTAGAGCTTGTGGCCAAGTATGGCACCAAGCACTGGACTCTAATTTCAAAGCATCTAAAGGGTCGATTGGGGAAGCAGTGCCGTGATCGCTGGCACAATCACCTCGACCCAATGATCAGTAAGAGCTGCTGGACTGATGAAGAGGATCTCATCATCTATAAAGCCCACTCCATTCTGGGAAACCGGTGGACTGAGATTTCCAGGCTGCTCCCAGGAAGGTGGGCCAGTTAGCTAGCAATGACTGAATTTTTAAAATATGGTTAGCAGTCAAAATGCAATTTATTTATTTATTTTTTTCTGGCAGGTCTGACAATTCTGTGAAGAATCATTGGAATTCGACCATCAAACGTAAAGCAGAGCTGGGCTTCTTTAGAGATGCTGCTCAAAGCATTTCCATTGATATTCAGCAATTTGTGGATGGAGAGGTACAGTGCTTATTGGATGTAGTTCATACTTTTTAAGGCTTCATTTTCAGTTATAACTGATGAGATATGCCAGTATTGTTAGATAGATTTTATACTGGGACATAGCCAGCTCAAAAAATTCAAAGCTGCTTGTTTTTAATGTCACTAAACTACCATTTTTCCTGCAGTTTTAAGTTACAGTAAACTTTGATATTGTTAATTGTGAATTAATATTACATGATGTGTTACAGGTGGATTTCAAATGTGACGTTGTTTTAGATGCTGAACCAGTAACTCCTGAAGTGGTGAGCTTGCTATAGCTGTATTTCTGAAGAAAAGATTTAGGAATTCATAAATACCTAAATCTTTCAGGATTTCACACAAGCTGTTCTCATCCGACAAGTTTGGTTTACCTATTGTGCGTTTTGCTCTGCTGCAGCTCAGGCCTGAGAAGTCAATGCAGGACAAGGAGCACCATAAAGCCAAGCAGAAGACTGCTGCTCCACCTCCGCAGAGGTCTACATCAAAGAGAGAGTCTTCCTCCCTCAGCAATTCTTTTCTCCCCTGCTCAAAATCCAGTCCCAGCTCTGGCACCGCACCACCAGCCGTGCAGGTGGATCAGAAAAAGTTTGCTGATGCAGCACTAAGGATGATTGCTGAGGACATGTTGCCCCTCAGGTGAGTTCTTCTGCTGATAGTTGAGATAGTGTTGGTTTGTGATTCACTGAAGGAGGTTTGGTAATCCTTAAGTCAATGCAATTTTCTTGTCACTCTGTGGTTATGTTGAAAACTTTGTAAAGGCTTTTATATATTGAATTAATATTTACTGTATATCATTAAATGTATGATTCACTTTATTCCGCACAGCTTTGTTGAAGGGGCTGGCTTCAGGTCTTTCATGAGTACGATCAGCCCTGAGTACAACAAGCTATCCCAGCGCGCAGTGGCCCTGCAGCTTTATGACGAGGTGGAACGAGCCATCAAGCCTCAGCTCATCCGTGATCTTAAATCCTGCCTTGCCACAATGAAAGATGGTGAAAGTGCCATTCATGTCACCGTTGATCTCTGGGCAGGGGCTCAAACCCTGCCAGTAGAGGATCCCATTGTTGTTGTCCAGCTTCACTTTATCAGTGATTCCTGGCAGCTCCGCCGTCCTATTGTGGCCTTCCGTCATGTCAGCCACAAAAACCTCAGCACTTGTGTGTCCAGGGAGCTCGAAGGTGTGCTGCTCAGCTACGGGATCTTTCCTCGCAGCATCGGCTACGTCCTTGCCAACCAGGCTAAAGAAGCCCTAGCTACAAACAACTTGTTCTGCGACTACAAGATTATGTGCACGTCCAATAGAGGAGAACCGGATGGAGATGAAGTGCTGGCCTTTCTGTCAGACCAAATGTCTGAAGCAGAGTCCCCTTTTTCCGAGCTGCAGATGGGGACAAGGACTACATGTGCTGCCAGGACACTGCAGATAGTGATTAGGGATGCCTTAAGAAATTCAAGAGTAGTAGAGAACCTGCTCTCACAGGTCCACAATGTGGTGGCTTTCTTCAAGAGCAGCCCCTACTGGAGCGAGGTATGAGACTAAAGGATTTAAATGTTATTTCCAAGGTATTTAAAGCTGGGTTTCAATATATTCATGTTTCCTCTTGCTTACATTATTTAGTGTAATGTGGCAAATGTTTTACAGAAAAGATGCAGACCTGAGCTCTGTTAACAAGATTATTTTTGCCCTTTTTCTCTTTTTTCTTTTAAATTAGGTTTTGATGAAGGAGTACAATGTGTCTTTGTGCCCTTCCTCTAGCAACTGTCGTTGGAACTCCATGATGCTATCATTACGGCGAATGGTCCAGGAGTCTGTCTGGAGCTCCATCATGACTCTCCTGGCCCAGGCACGCATAGAGGCTAGTGACACAGCCAGCGCCCCACCACTGGTCATGGTTAAGAGGGAACAAGTGATTGACATTCTAGGTCTTCTTGAGCCCTTTGAGGAGGCTTTACAGGTAACAGAGCAAGTTTCTCTATAATGGAATTTCCAAATCTACATGTGTAACCTTTTGTTCAGTAATCCCATAATCAGGCTAAGAAGAAATGTGAACGGGGTCTTTAATAGAAGACATGTTTGTGTCTTATCTATCGTAGGTCCTGCAAGGAAATGGTGTGACTATGTCTCTCATCATACCGTCCCTCATTGGACTTGATAAAACCTTGGAGAATTGTGTCACCAACTACACCCACTTCTGCAAGGCCCTGCGCACAGGCCTCTACACACACTTCCAGCCAGTGATTCACCAGAAGGACATGATACTAGCTGCTGTGCTGGATCCTAGGATCAAACTGCAGGTACCAAATTAGGCCAGAAGCATAGTGGACTTCTGTAGATTTATATTTAATTGAATATGCGTGTTGAGTAGATAAAGGAAAAAAATGTGTGTACATTTAAAACAACCATTTTTTTTTGCAGCCGTTTTCTGATGACAACCAGGATGAACAGAATGATTTCCTAACACCTCCGTCAAAATCTGAGGCTCGCAGCATTGTTGAGTCCACATTAGAAAACATGGAAGCCTCAACTTTTCCTACTGTTGAGGCAGAGAAAGATCAGACAGGCAGTGGGCTGGAGCACGATGTGAAAGAAGAAAGCCAGACAGATGGCGTGATGGACACTTGTGCTGGCAGCTCAGACAACAACTGTCCTGAAATCAGTGAAAACGACCTCAAGAGGAAGTCCATCTTCAACTTCCTTCAGCCGCCTGCAAAGACTCTAAAGATGTCAGAGTTCGACGTGTACCTGTCTGAACCGCTGTGGGAAAGCAACTCTACTCTTCAGTACTGGAAATGTGCTTCTCGATTCCCGAAGCTCCAAGGCCTCGCCAAGAAGCTGCTGGCGGTGCCCGCCACATCTGGAGGTTTTGACCGTTTCAGTCCGATGGCTGCGTGCATTGTGAAAGCAAAAAGGAACCGCTTGCCACCTCACACCACAGAGAGACTGCTACTATACAAAAACTCTGTAAAAGTGAAGACTGTTAAAAAGCCCAGTCGGGCTGCTAAACACTGATGGATAACAGCTGAGTGTGGCAGAGGTTTCACAGCATTAAACAGAAACTCTGCCTCTACTTTTAAAAACTGTGCCATACGCTAAGAAGGAGGGTGAACTGCTAATACCTCTTATATTGTAGCAAATGAATCAGCTGACTCTTTCTTCCTAGAACGCATTTGCTGGTCTGCATTAAAAAAACAAAACAACAAGTCCTGTGTTACAGCTGGTTTCATCAGTTTGTTAAAAGGACGCATTCTGGTCAATGATCCTCACAGCTTCATACCTGCAGCAGCGATAGAGATGCACACTGTCTCTGCGTGCTGTACGGTGCTGCTCAGAGTTGTACTTTGTCCCTTCCACACATGATTCAAGTCAGAGCTCTCTACTGGATTGGGAAATGGCAAATTAGAAATGGAGTCGGTGAATGAATGGCATCTGATTCACTTCAAACCAAAATGAGTTCAGCTTGTATCGTTCTTTTGCAGAATTTCATGTTTTCTGACTGCAACTTTTGTTAAGACAGTAATAAAATGTCAAATCAGAGGTTGAATGCTTATTTATTTCCACTATGCACTGATAAATGAGATATTTGCTGCCAAACGTGATGGAACAGTAGATCTTTATATTGAATTTGGCTATTCAGTCCCTCCACCCCAAAAGTCATTTATATTTTATAGTCAAATGAGAAATCCACTGTACATTTCTTTCAGGCATTACAGTTTTGTTTCATTCATTCTAACGTGAAATACAACAGTGTCAGCATCTTTTCAGCTTTTTATCAGACTTGTCTTTCACCATTTTCAAATAGCCTAATCAATAATTCATGTACTTTCATAGATGCTGTTGTTTTCCTCAAAACCATAGATTTTTAAAAAGAAAACATTTTGCTTGGATAAACTATAATGTCTGATGGAAGTTGATGGAAAAGCTTCATTTAGTTTGGCTTTGTCAGGTAGGCTGATGTTGGCATTGAATGACAGCTACCTGATTTTACTGCGGTAAAGACCGATAATGTGTTGAAAATTAAAACCAGTGTTATGAGTGCTGTGATCTCCTCTGAGAAGCATTCAAAAAGTTTTTGCTTGCATTAAACATTGGAGTATGTATCAGCTGTGTTATCAAGAAACTGAGATATCTGCTAGAAACTGGAATATTGGAATATGTCTGATATTAAAGACAGTTTGCGACTGAAGAAAACTGTGAGAACATTTTTTTTAATCCTCTCATTGATTCATCTTCAGTTGAAACTGCGTCAAATCAGCTGCCAATAAGTAATTTAAATGCATTCTATTTTATTTTAGTGTTATTATTCATTTATATTTTATTGCGTCATTGTAGTGCATTTTACTTGTTTTAGTTGCATTCTAGTTTGTAAAGCAAGTTGTGCAGCATGGGCTGTTGGAAATGTGCTCGATCAATAAACCTGACCTTGACCATGTGTGGAGGGAGCCAGAAACATGCTGCTGTTTGCACATATTTAATAATGGGCTCTGCAGAGGAGCTAAAGAAGAGTCCAGCATGTTGCTCTGACTGTGTAACTCCTAAAGGTACAGTAACGGCAACATTGCCTAGTGACTGATCAGGCCAGTAACATTTCTGTTTCTCATATAAACCATCTCAGTGACTTCAGCAGAGATATTTTGTTAGTCAGGGTAAATACAAGGATTAGCTACCGAACATGTGCTTTTGCTCAATGTCTGACTGCAAGTGACTGAGAATGTGTTTACTTTAAAAAATGAAATATGTATTTGGCCACAGTAACTAAAGGTTCGCTAACTAAAAACTAACTAAAATGTAGCTTTAAAAATAGCTGAGAACAGCCTATTTTAATAACCTCACTCCACTTCCTGCCACTGTACAAAAATGAAGCCAAAATTCCCTTTTCATGGGGACTGCCATCACTTTGTATTTTTGAAGCCAGTGTGTGCGTAGTAGTGAATAAAAGCAGATCAAAAGTACTCAAATACAACCACTTGTACACATCAAAAGAAAAATTCAGTTCACATCAATTTTATTTGTGCCAATTTTAAACCTTTATTATATTATATAATATAATATTGCAAGGTAACATCCCTACAATAACGCAGAGATTGTAGGGAACTGGTAGGAGGATTTTTTAGATGTGGTTGGGTTTGGCTGAAAGCCGGCGCTTGAGTATTTTTGTAGCAGGATTGTATACTCTACGTAGAGTTGACTGGGAAGTAAGTTCAGGTGAATGGGGATGAAACATTTCTTCTTCTGCCTTGGGAGTAACAGTGGACTTGAGGTTGAGTGAGCTCCTAGACTCAGACTGCTTCTTTGAGTTGTCTACAGTTTTAGACCGGGCCCTAGTGGAAATAGGAGGTAGCAGGCCATGCACTGCTTTTAGCTTACTGTCATATGTGGTAAGCTTGTTACCAGTTTTACCCTTAAGGTCTCTAATTTCTTTCTGTTGTTCTTTCAGCTCATTGTCGCCTTTGGATGGAAAGTATTCCACATTACTCAGGTCAAATCTCACCTTTTTCCGGGCTATTTGTTCATCCCCATCCTTTCTTTGCTGCTCTGGGGAGGCTTTTTTCTCGACTTGCACAGTGTGGCCGAGCGTGTCATAAAGTCCCTTCAGCTGTTGCAGCAGATCGTCATTTTCTTTTTTCTGTACTGCATTCTTTTGTCGTTGAATGCCAATGTCAATTTCCAGTTCTTCTATTACTTGCTCAAGCTTAAATACTGTGTGTTTGGACTTTGTCAGAGCTTTCTCAACCTCTTCTTTGTCCTCCACAGTTTGCGTCAACTTTGACTTCACTGTGAAGAGGTTGTCATTTGCAGAGCTAAGCTGTTTCTCGTGTTCTTTCTTTTGTTCTGCCTGCTGCAGTTTGATAATGTCCAGCTCAGTCTTTACAGCATTATAGCTGGTCTTAGCATTGGCAAGGTCTACGTTTGTCTCTTGGAGTTCTTGAGCCTTTTCTTTGATTTTATTCTGAAGTGTCTTTATAGTGTCTCTAGCTGTATAGAGTTCGTTCTCAATGCAGAACTTTGTCTCAGAAAGGAGCACTTTATCAGACCTAAGATTTTCACGTCTCTTTATCTCCAGTTCCAGATCGTTTTCTGCTTTGCTAAGAGCAGTTTTCAGACGGGCTATGTTATTTTTTTGGGATGAAATTTTCTTCCCAGACTCCTGCGTCTCATTTTCAAATATAATTATTTGCTTAGTTTTAACCTCAAGGCAGTTTTCCAGACGGTCGATAGTAAAACGTTGCCTTGCCAGCTCCTTTATCTGACTTTCAGATTCCAGGACTTTAGCTTTTAACTCTTTCCTCAACGTTATGTTGTTACATTCCTTCTCCCTAAGACGTACTTTCAGTTCATCATTTTTCTTTGTCAGTTGGTTTTTCTCGTCTATTGCCCAGCGCTTTCCCGCTTTATACTCCTCATTTTGTCTTTGACACTTTTTAAGTTCAGCCTGTAGTTTCTCTTTTTCTTCTTCCACACTTTTAACTTTCTGTTGACGGCAGTACACCTCCCCAGGTAGTGTAAGAAGCTCGTCTATCCTTCTTTCAAGGAAGTCATTACGATGAATGTACTTCTCATTGTTCTGAATCTCAGTCTGAAGCTGCTCATTTTGTTTCTGCAGTTCTTTAAGTGTTTCATTTTTTTCCTCAGTCGTCTTGCTTAGCTTCATCTTGAGTTCTTGTTTTTCCTGCTCATTTTTGATTTTAAGGACAACCAGAGATTCCACCTCCTTTTCTTTCTTGTCCCGCATCGTTTTTTCAGTGGCACACTTATTTTCAAGGTGTTTGATTGCCTTATGAAGAGCCCGAATTTTTGCCTCATATTTGTTTGTGAGATCTACATTCTGTGACTCTGCGGACCTTAGCTGGGATTTGGTTTCCAGCAAAACATTTTCCATTTTTTCCATCTTTTCATCTTTGGATTCCTCTGTCATCTTCGCAACCAGTTCCTGCTCTTCTTTCAAAGATGCCTCAAGACTTGAAATCTTAGAATTCTTTTCATCGATTTCCTCAAGCTGAAGTTTTTCAGCTTGTTTGTAATTTTCTATCTCATATCTGAGCACCTGCATTTCTTTGGACTCCTCTTTCATCTTCGCAACCAGTTCCTGCTCTTCTTTCAAAGATGCCTCAAGACTTGAAATCTTACAATTCTTTTCATCGATTTCCTCCAACTGAAGCTTTTCAGCTTGTTTGTACTTTTCTATCTCATTTCTGAGCACCTGCATTTCTTTGGACTCCTCTTTCATCTTTGCAACCAGTCCCTGCTCTTCTTTCAAAGATGCCTCAAGACTTGAAATCCTACAATTCTTTTCTTGGATTTCCTCAAGCTGAAGTTTTTCAGCTTGTTTGTAATTTTCTATCTCATTTCTGAGCATCTGCATATCAAAGTAGCTTAGGGAGCTCATTTTGAAATGAATGTATTTAGTTTAGTTTATACGACGTGTTATTCTGTGTTTGAAAAATGATCTACTCAATGAGACAAAGTGTTCGCAAGTGGAAACTGTTAGTTCAGAACTATAGCGATCTATGGGTTCAAGGTATGTACTCGAGGGATATTTATAGGCTCTGACTCCGCCCCCAGAACTGTCTTCAAAGGAGTTCAAGTGACGTTATCGCCGAACGTCGTGACATTCAAAGGACAGTCTATTATGATGTCATTTTGTACTAGAATGGGTTAAATTTGATATTGTGTCTTTGCAAGTTTGTTCAACTTGCATTGCGATTTCTTTTTTTAGCAGACTTTAGCGATCCTTCTACTTGGGCTGTCTTCAAGTTTAAGGTATCTGTCGTTTCCCACCGTATCCCGCCCCGATCGATCCATTTATGTACGAGCCCATCCGCCCCCGGATCCGTTCATCGGGGCTCATCGCTACTGTTGTAGTCACTTGTCCGGAGCTAACAACAGCTGTTGAGCTGACTATTAAGCTAACATTATGCCCGCTAGTGTTACGTGTCCTACAAGTCACACTTTTTCTGTGATAAACAGTTGAATTAAATTCTTACAGCGTATGAGAGGTTGGCAGCGTCAAAACATTAGCAATAGGTGACAATAACGAGTGCTGGAGGATTTATTTAGTTATTTATTTAGATCCATTTCTTCAGTATAAGAAGCCATACTATCAGAACACCGCAATACAGATACAACTAATAGGCTACTTATTCTGCAGAAAAACTTTCACCATTTGTGCTTAAGAGTATATGAATTTATATGACTACTGCTTATGTTGAAGATTAAGCTCAGTTTTAATATTTCATGTCATTCTATAATGATCATAGCGTATGCAGAGATGACACATATTTGTCCATTTTAATATTCAGCTGAGCATGAATGGAATGTCAGAGTGGTGTCTGACAGTATATATGTATGTTATTATAATGAACACAGTGTATATATGTATGAATGTTTGATTCAAAGATAAGATTAGACATTTAAAATAAATGAATAACAAACAAAAATCTAGCAGGTTGAGCACTGTGTGAAGCAGGAAACATTCAAGCAGATGAAAAATATATTAAATGAAAATACTGAGCTTATCGTTGATCAGCTTGGATTGTGTAGATCACAAATCTTTTGGTCTGAATCTTTTTTTATTAAATTTTTATAATATCCATCGTGACTCTCTTTTTCATCAGTGGAACTCTGTCCCAATCTGCTCCACCACCGGAAGATTCTCCGCTGTCCACGATGTCTTCACTGTGGATGCCATGTTTGTGTCTTATCTATCGTAGGTCCTGCAGGGAAATGGTGTGACTATGTCTCTCATCATACCGTCCCTCATTGGACTTGATAAAACCTTGGAGAATTGTGTCACCAACTACACCCACTTCTGCAAGGCCCTGCGCACAGGCCTCTACACACACTTCCAGCCAGTGATTCACCAGAAGGACATGATACTAGCTGCTGTGCTGGATCCTAGGATCAAACTGCAGGTACCAAATTAGGCCAGAAGCATAGTGGACTTCTGTAGATTTATATTTAATTGAATATGCGTGTTGAGTAGATAAAGGAAAAAAATGTGTGTACATTTAAAACAACCATTTTTTTTTGCAGCCGTTTTCTGATGACAACCAGGATGAACAGAATGATTTCCTAACACCTCCGTCAAAATCTGAGGCTCGCAGCATTGTTGAGTCCACATTAGAAAACATGGAAGCCTCAACTTTTCCTACTGTTGAGGCAGAGAAAGATCAGACAGGCAGTGGGCTGGAGCACGATGTGAAAGAAGAAAGCCAGACAGATGGCGTGATGGACACTTGTGCTGGCAGCTCAGACAACAACTGTCCTGAAATCAGTGAAAACGACCTCAAGAGGAAGTCCATCTTCAACTTCCTTCAGCTGCCTGCAAAGACTCTAAAGATGTCAGAGTTCGATGTGTACCTGTCTGAACCGCTGTGGGAAAGCAACTCTACTCTTCAGTACTGGAAATGTGCTTCTCGATTCCCGAAGCTCCAAGGCCTCGCCAAGAAGCTGCTGGCGGTGCCCGCCACATCTGGAGGTTTTGACCGTTTCAGTCCGATGGCTGCGTGCATTGTGAAAGCAAAAAGGAACCGCTTGCCACCTCACACCACAGAGAGACTGCTACTATACAAAAACTCTGTAAAAGTGAAGACTGTTAAAAAGCCCAGTCGGGCTGCTAAACACTGATGGATAACAGCTGAGTGTGGCAGAGGTTTCACAGCATTAAACAGAAACTCTGCCTCTACTTTTAAAAACTGTGCCATACGCTAAGAAGGAGGGTGAACTGCTAATACCTCTTATATTGTAGCAAATGAATCAGCTGACTCTTTCTTCCTAGAACGCATTTGCTGGTCTGCATTAAAAAAACAAAACAACAAGTCCTGTGTTACAGCTGGTTTCATCAGTTTGTTAAAAGGACGCATTCTGGTCAATGATCCTCACAGCTTCATACCTGCAGCAGCGATAGAGATGCACACTGTCTCTGCGTGCTGTACGGTGCTGCTCAGAGTTGTACTTTGTCCCTTCCACACATGATTCAAGTCAGAGCTCTCTACTGGATTGGGAAATGGCAAATTAGAAATGGAGTCGGTGAATGAATGGCATCTGATTCACTTCAAACCAAAATGAGTTCAGCTTGTATCGTTCTTTTGCAGAATTTCATGTTTTCTGACTACAACTTTTGTTAAGACAGTAATAAAATGTCAAATCAGAGGTTGAATGCTTATTTATTTCCACTATGCACTGATAAATGAGATATTTGCTGCCAAACGTGATGGAACAGTAGATCTTTATATTGAATTTGGCTATTCAGTCCCTCCACCCCAAAAGTCATTTATATTTTATAGTCAAATGAGAAATCCACTGTACATTTCTTTCAGGCATTACAGTTTTGTTTCATTCATTCTAACGTGAAATACAACAGTGTCAGCATCTTTTCAGCTTTTTATCAGACTTGTCTTTCACCATTTTCAAATAGCCTAATCAATAATTCATGTACTTTCATAGATGCTGTTGTTTTCCTCAAAACCATAGATTTTTAAAAAGAAAACATTTTGCTTGGATAAACTATAATGTCTGATGGAAGTTGATGGAAAAGCTTCATTTAGTTTGGCTTTGTCAGGTAGGCTGATGTTGGCATTGAATGACAGCTACCTGATTTTACTGCGGTAAAGACCGATAATGTGTTGAAAATTAAAACCAGTGTTATGAGTGCTGTGATCTCCTCTGAGAAGCATTCAAAAAGTTTTTGCTTGCATTAAACATTGGAGTATGTATCAGCTGTGTTATCAAGAAACTGAGATATCTGCTAGAAACTGGAATATTGGAATATGTCTGATATTAAAGACAGTTTGCGACTGAAGAAAACTGTGAGAACATTTTTTTTAATCCTCTCATTGATTCATCTTCAGTTGAAACTGCGTCAAATCAGCTGCCAATAAGTAATTTAAATGCATTCTATTTTATTTTAGTGTTATTATTCATTTATATTTTATTGTGTCATTGTAGTGCATTTTACTTGTTTTAGTTGCATTCTAGTTTGTAAAGCAAGTTGTGCAGCATGGGCTGTTGGAAATGTGCTCGATCAATAAACCTGACCTTGACCATGTGTGGAGGGAGCCAGAAACATGCTGCTGTTTGCACATATTTAATAATGGGCTCTGCAGAGGAGCTAAAGAAGAGTCCAGCATGTTGCTCTGACTGTGTAACTCCTAAAGGTACAGTAACGGCAACATTGCCTAGTGACTGATCAGGCCAGTAACATTTCTGTTTCTCATATAAACCATCTCAGTGACTTCAGCAGAGATATTTTGTTAGTCAGGGTAAATACAAGGATTAGCTACCGAACATGTGCTTTTGCTCAATGTCTGACTGCAAGTGACTGAGAATGTGTTTACTTTAAAAAATGAAATATGTATTTGGCCACAATAACTAAAGGTTCGCTAACTAAAAACTAACTAAAATGTAGCTTTAAAAATAGCTGAGAACAGCCTATTTTAATAACCTCACTCCACTTCCTGCCACTGTACAAAAATGAAGCCAAAATTCCCTTTTCATGGGGACTGCCATCACTTTGTATTTTTGAAGCCAGTGTGTGCGTAGTAGTGAATAAAAGCAGATCAAAAGTACTCAAATACAACCACTTGTACACATCAAAAGAAAAATTCAGTTCACATCAATTTTATTTGTGCCAATTTTAAAACTTTAGGGTAACATCCCTACAATAACGCAGAGATTGTAGGGATGTTAACTTGCAATATTATATAATATTGCAAGTTAACATCCCTACAATAATGCAGAGAAAACCCAACAATCCGAAGATCCCCTATGAGCAAGCACTTGGCGACAGTGGGAAGGAAAAACTCCCTTTTAATAGGAAGAAACCTTCAGTAGAACCAGGCTCAGTGAGGGGCGGCCATCTACCTCGACCGGTTGGGGGTGATGAAGCGACATAGATGAAATGCATGTCACTTCCTCACACATGCAGAGATGTCCTTATTGTCTTACATTTATGATGTTATAGCAAATACAGCCTCTCCTGGGTTACGGATGTAATATACCCTCAGGATGGGCGGGTATTAAATTTTTTTCTGATATTGTCTCTTTGTGATTTATTTTGACTTTGGAAACAAAGAAATAGATATTTTTTAACCAGCTTAAAAGCTGATTATTTCTTTGGAGTCAGTGTGAGAACTGGTAGGAGGATTTTTTAGATGTGGTTGGGTTTGGCTGAAGGCCGGCGCTTGAGTAGTTTTGTAGCAGGATTGTATACTCTACGTAGAGTTGACTGGGAAGTAAGTTCAGGTGAATGGGGATGAAACATTTCTTCTTCTGCCTTGGGAGTAACAGTGGACTTGAGGTTGAGTGAGCTCCTAGACTCAGACTGCTTCTTTGAGTTGTCTACAGTTTTAGACTGGGCCCTAGTGGAAATAGGAGGTAGCAGGCCATGCACTGCTTTTAGCTTACTGTCATATGTGGTAAGCTTGTTACCAGTTTTACCCTTAAGGTCTCTAATTTCTTTCTGTTGTTCTTTCAGCTCATTGTCGCCTTTGGATGGAAAGTATTCCACATTACTCAGGTCAAATCTCACCTTTTTCCGGGCTATTTGTTCATCCCCATCCTTTCTTTGCTGCTCTGGGGAGGCTTTTTTCTCGACTTGCACAGTGTGGCCGAGTGTGTCATAAAGTCCCTTCAGCTGTTGAGCAGTTTTCAGACGGGCTATGTTATTTTTTTGGGATGAAATTTTCTTCCCAGGTTCCTGCGTCTCATTTTCAAATATAATTATTTGCTTAGTTTTATCCTCAAGGCAGTTTTCCAGACGGTCGATAGTAAAACGTTGCCTTGCCAGCTCCTTTATCTGACTTTCAGATTCCAGGACTTTAGCTTTTAACTCTTTCCTCAACGTTATGTTGTTACATTCCTTCTCCCTTTGACGTACTTTCAGTTCATCATTTTTCTTTGTCAGTTGGTTTTTCTCATCTATTGCCCAGCGCTTTCCCGCTTTATACTCCTCATTTTGTCTTTTAAGGACAACCAGAGATTCCACCTCCTTTTCTTTCTTGTCCCGCATCGTTTTTTCAGTGGCACACTTATTTTCAAGGTGTTTGATTGCCTTATGAAGAGCCCGAATTTTTGCCTCATATTTGTTTGTGAGAGCTACATTCTGTGACTCTGCGGACCTTAGCTGGGATTTGGTTTCCTCTGTCATCTTCGCAACCAGTTCCTGCTCTTCTTTCAAAGATGCCTCAAGACTTGAAATCTTAGAATTCTTTTCATCGATTTCCTCCAACTGAAGCTTTTCAGCTTGTTTGTACTTTTCTATCTCATTTCTGAGCACCTGCATTTCTTTGGACTCCTCTTTCATCTTTGCAACCAGTCCCTGCTCTTCTTTCAAAGATGCCTCAAGACTTGAAATCCTACAATTCTTTTCTTGGATTTCCTCAAGCTGAAGTTTTTTAGCTTGTTTGTAATTTTCTATCTCATTTCTGAGCATCTGTATATCAAAGTAGCTTAGGGAGCTCATTTTGAAATGAATGTATTTAGTTTAGTTTATACGACGTGTTATTCTGTGTTTGAAAAATGATCTACTCAATGAGACAAAGTGTTCGCAAGTGGAAACTGTTAGTTCAGAACTATAGCGATCTATGGGTTCAAGGTATGTACTCGAGGGATATTTATAGGCTCTGACTCCGCCCCCAGAACTGTCTTCAAAGGAGTTCAAGTGACGTTATCGCCGAACGTCGTGACATTCAAAGGACAGTCTATTGTGATGTCATTTTGTACCAGAATGGGTTCAATTTGATATTGTGTCTTTGCAAGTTTGTTCAACTTGCATTGCGATTTCTTTTTTTAGCAGACTTTAGCGATCCTTCTACTTGGGCTGTCTTCAAGTTTAAGGTATCTGTCGTTTCCCACCGTATCCCGCCCCGATCGATCCATTTATGTACGAGCCCATCCGCCCCCGGATCCGTTCATCGGGGCTCATCGCTACTGTTGTAGTCACTTGTCCGGAGCTAACAACAGCTGTTGAGCTGACTATTAAGCTAACATTATGCCCGCTAGTGTTACGTGTCCTACAAGTCACACTTTTTCTGTGATAAACAGTTGAATTAAATTCTTACAGCGTATGAGAGGTTGGCAGCGTCAAAACATTAGCAATAGGTGACAATAACGAGTGCTGGAGGATTTATTTAGTTATTTATTTAGATCCATTTCTTCAGTATAAGAAGCCATACTATCAGAACACCGCAATACAGATACAACTAATAGGCTACTTATTCTGCAGAAAAACTTTCACCATTTGTGCTTAAGAGTATATGAATTTATATGACTACTGCTTATGTTGAAGATTAAGCTCAGTTTTAATATTTCATGTCATTCTATAATGATCATAGCGTATGCAGAGATGACACATATTTGTCCATTTTAATATTCAGCTGAGCATGAATGGAATGTCAGAGTGGTGTCTGACAGTATATATGTATGTTATTATAATGAACACAGTGTATATATGTATGAATGTTTGATTCAAAGATAAGATTAGACATTTAAAATAAATGAATAACAAACAAAAATCTAGCAGGTTGAGCACTGTGTGAAGCAGGAAACATTCAAGCAGATGAAAAATATATTAAATGAAAATACTGAGCTTATCGTTGATCAGCTTGGATTGTGTAGATCACAAATCTTTTGGTCTGAATCTTTTTTTATTAAATTTTTATAATATCCATCGTGACTCTCTTTTTCATCAGTGGAACTCTGTCCCAGTCTGCTCCACCACCGGGAGATTCTCCGCTGTCCACGATGTCTTCACTGTGGATGCCATGTTTGTGTCTTATCTATCGTAGGTCCTGCAGGGAAATGGTGTGACTATGTCTCTCATCATACCGTCCCTCATTGGACTTGATAAAACCTTGGAGAATTGTGTCACCAACTACACCCACTTCTGCAAGGCCCTGCGCACAGGCCTCTACACACACTTCCAGCCAGTGATTCACCAGAAGGACATGATACTAGCTGCTGTGCTGGATCCTAGGATCAAACTGCAGGTACCAAATTAGGCCAGAAGCATAGCGGACTTCTGTAGATTTATATTTAACTGAATATGCGTGTTGAGTAGATATAGGAAAAAAATGTGTGTACATTTAAAACAACCATTTTTTTTGCAGCCGTTTTCTGATGACAACCAGGATGAACAGAATGATTTCCTAACACCTCCGTCAAAATCTGAGGCTCGCAGCATTGTTGAGTCCACATTAGAAAACATGGAAGCCTCAACTTTTCCTACTGTTGAGGCAGAGAAAGATCAGACAGGCAGTGGGCTGGAGCACGATGTGAAAGAAGAAAGCCAGACAGATGGCGTGATGGACACTTGTGCTGGCAGCTCAGACAACAACTGTCCTGAAATCAGTGAAAACGACCTCAAGAGGAAGTCCATCTTCAACTTCCTTCAGCCGCCTGCAAAGACTCTAAAGATGTCAGAGTTCGACGTGTACCTGTCTGAACCGCTGTGGGAAAGCAGTACTGGAAATGTGCTTCTCGATTCCCGAAGCTCCAAGGCCTCGCCAAGAAGCTGCTGGCGGTGCCCGCCACATCTGGAGGTTTTGACCGTTTCAGTCTGATGGCTGCGTGCATTGTGAAAGCAAAAAGGAACCGCTTGCCACCTCACCCCACAGAGAGACTGCTACTATACAAAAACTCTGTAAAAGTGAAGACTGTTAAAAAGCCCAGTCGGGCTGCTAAACACTGATGGATAACAGCTGAGTGTGGCAGAGCTTGCACAGCATTAAACAGAAACTCTGCCTCTACTTTTAAAAACTGTGCCATACGCTAAGAAGGAGGGTGAACTGCTAATACCTCTTATATTGTAGCAAATGAATCAGCTGACTCTTTCTTCCTAGAACGCATTTGCTGGTCTGCATTAAAAAAACAAAACAACAAGTCCTGTGTTACAGCTGGTTTCATCAGTTTGTTAAAGGGACGCATTCTGGTCAATGATCCTCACAGCTTCATCCTCACAGAGCCCATTTAATAATGGGCTCTGCAGAGGAGCTAAAGAAGAGTCCAGCATGTTGCTCTGACTGTGTAACTCCTAAAGGTACAGTAACGGCAACATTGCCTAGTGACTGATCAGGCCAGTAACATTTCTGTTTCTCATATAAACCATCTCAGTGACTTCAGCAGAGATATTTTGTTAGTCAGGGTAAATACAAGGATTAGCTACCGAACATGTGCTTTTGCTCAATGTCTGACTGCGAGTGACTGAGAATGTGTTTACTTTAAAAAATGAAATATGTATTTGGCCACAGTAACTAAAGGTTCGCTAACTAAAAACTAACTAAAATGTAGCTTTAAAAATAGCTGAGAACAGCCTATTTTAATAACCTCACTCCACTTCCTGCCACTGTACAAAAATGAAGCCAAAATTCCCTTTTCATGGGGACTGCCATCACTTTGTATTTTGAAGCCAGTGTGTGCGTAGTAGTGAATAAAAGCAGATCAAAAGTACTCAAATACAACCACTTGTACACATCAAAAGAAAAATTCAGTTCACATCAATTTTATTTGTGCCAATTTTAAAACTTTAGGGTAACATCCCTACAATAACGCAGAGATTGTAGGGATGTTAACTTGCAATATTATATAATATTGCAAGTTAACATCCCTACAATAATGCAGAGAAAACCCAACAATCCGAAGATCCCCTATGAGCAAGCACTTGGCGACAGTGGGAAGGAAAAACTCCCTTTTAATAGGAAGAAACCTTCAGTAGAACCAGGCTCAGTGAGGGGCGGCCATCTACCTCGACCGGTTGGGGGTGATGAAGCGACATAGATGAAATGCATGTCACTTCCTCACACATGCAGAGATGTCCTTATTGTCTTACATTTATGATGTTATAGCAAATACAGCCTCTCCTGGGTTACGGATGTAATATACCCTCAGGATGGGCGGGTATTAAATTTTTTTCTGATATTGTCTCTTTGTGATTTATTTTGACTTTGGAAACAAAGAAATAGATATTTTTTAACCAGCTTAAAAGCTGATTATTTCTTTGGAGTCAGTGTGAGAACTGGTAGGAGGATTTTTTAGATGTGGTTGGGTTTGGCTGAAGGCCGGCGCTTGAGTAGTTTTGTAGCAGGATTGTATACTCTACGTAGAGTTGACTGGGAAATAAGTTCAGGTGAATGGGGATGAAACATTTCTTCTTCTGCCTTGGGAGTAACAGTGGACTTGAGGTTGAGTGAGCTCCTAGACTCAGACTGCTTCTTTGAGTTGTCTACAGTTTTAGACCGGGCCCTAGTGGAAATAGGAGGTAGCAGGCCATGCACTGCTTTTAGCTTACTGTCATATGTGGTAAGCTTGTTACCAGTTTTACCCTTAAGGTCTCTAATTTCTTTCTGTTGTTCTTTCAGCTCATTGTCGCCTTTGGATGGAAAGTATTCCGCATTACTCAGGTCAAATCTCACCTTTTTCCGGGCTATTTGTTCATCCCCATCCTTTCTTTGCTGCTCTGGGGAGGCTTTTTTCTCGACTTGCACAGTGCGGCCGAGCGTGTCATAAAGTCCCTTCAGCTGTTGCAGCAGATCGTCATTTTCTTTTTTCTGTACTGCATTCTTTTGTCGTTGAATGCCAATGTCAGTTTCCAGTTCTTCTATTACTTGCTCAAGCTTAAATACTGTGTGTTTGGACTTTGTCAGAGCTTTCTCAACCTCTTCTTTGTCCTCCACAGTTTGCGTCAACTTTGACTTCACTGTGAAGAGGTTGTCATTTGCAGAGCTAAGCTGTTTCTCGTGTTCTTTCTTTTGTTCTGCCTGCTGCAGTTTGATAATGTCCAGCTCAGTCTTTACAGCATTATAGCTGGTCTTAGCATTGGCAAGGTCTACGTTTGTCTCTTGGAGTTCTTGAGCCTTTTCTTTGATTTTATTCTGAAGTGTCTTTATAGTGTCTCTAGCTGTATAGAGTTCGTTCTCAATGCAGAACTTTGTCTCAGAAAGGAGCACTTTATCAGACCTAAGATTTTCACTTCTCTTTATCTCCAGTTCCAGATCGTTTTCTGCTTTGCTAAGAGCAGTTTTCAGACGGGCTATGTTATTTTTTTGGGATGAAATTTTCTTCCCAGACTCCTGCGTCTCATTTTCAAATATAATTATTTGCTTAGTTTTATCCTCAAGGCAGTTTTCCAGACGGTCGATAGTAAAACGTTGCCTTGCCAGCTCCTTTATCTGACTTTCAGATTCCAGGACTTTAGCTTTTAACTCTTTCCTCAACGTTATGTTGTTACATTCCTTCTTCCTTTGACGTACTTTCAGTTCATCATTTTTCTTTGTCAGTTGGTTTTTCTCATCTATTGCCCAGCGCTTTCCCGCTTTATACTCCTCATTTTGTCTTTGACACTTTTTAAGTTCAGCCTGTAGTTTCTCTTTTTCTTCTTCCACACTTTTAACTTTCTGTTGACGGCAGTACACCTCCCCAGGTAGTGTAAGAAGCTCGTCTATCCTTCTTTCAAGGAAGTCATTACGATGAATGTACTTCTCATTGTTCTGAATCTCAGTCTGAAGCTGCTCATTTTGTTTCTGCAGTTCTTTAAGTGTTTCATTTTTTTCCTCAGTCGTCTTGCTTAGCTTCATCTTGAGTTCTTGTTTTTCCTGCTCATTTTTGATTTTAAGGACAACCAGAGATTCCACCTCCTTTTCTTTCTTGTCCCGCATCGTTTTTTCAGTGGCACACTTATTTTCAAGGTGTTTGATTGCCTTATGAAGAGCCCGAATTTTTGCCTCATATTTGTTTGTGAGAGCTACATTCTGTGACTCTGCGGACCTTAGCTGGGATTTGGTTTCCAGCAAAACATTTTCCATTTTTTCCATCTTTTCATCTTTGGATTCCTCTGTCATCTTCGCAACCAGTTCCTGTTCTTCTTTCAAAGATGCCTCAAGACTTGAAATCTTACAATTCTTTTCATCGATTTCCTCAAGCTGAAGTTTTTCAGCTTGTTTGTAATTTTCTATCTCATATCTGAGCACCTGCATTTCTTTGGACTCCTCTTTCATCTTCGCAACCAGTTCCTGCTCTTCTTTCAAAGATGCCTCAAGACTTGAAATCTTAGAATTCTTTTCATCGATTTCCTCCAACTGAAGCTTTTCAGCTTGTTTGTACTTTTCTATCTCATTTCTGAGCACCTGCATTTCTTTGGACTCCTCTTTCATCTTTGCAACCAGTCCCTGCTCTTCTTTCAAAGATGCCTCAAGACTTGAAATCCTACAATTCTTTTCTTGGATTTCCTCAAGCTGAAGTTTTTCAGCTTGTTTGTAATTTTCTATCTCATTTCTGAGCATCTGCATATCAAAGTAGCTTAGGGAGCTCATTTTGAAATGAATGTATTTAGTTTAGTTTATACGACGTGTTATTCTGTGTTTGAAAAATGATCTACTCAATGAGACAAAGTGTTCGCAAGTGGAAACTGTTAGTTCAGAACTATAGCGATCTATGGGTTCAAGGTATGTACTCGAGGGATATTTATAGGCTCTGACTCCGCCCCCAGAACTGTCTTCAAAGGAGTTCAAGTGACGTTATCGCCGAACGTCGTGACATTCAAAGGACAGTCTATTATGATGTCATTTTGTACTAGAATGGGTTAAATTTGATATTGTGTCTTTGCAAGTTTGTTCAACTTGCATTGCGATTTCTTTTTTAGCAGACTTTAGCGATCCTTCTACTTGGGCTGTCTTCAAGTTTAAGGTATCTGTCGTTTCCCACCGTATCCCGCCCCGATCGATCCATTTATGTACGAGCCCATCCGCCCCCGGATCCGTTCATCGGGGCTCATCGCTACTGTTGTAGTCACTTGTCCGGAGCTAACAACAGCTGTTGAGCTGACTATTAAGCTAACATTATGCCCGCTAGTGTTACGTGTCCTACAAGTCACACTTTTTCTGTGATAAACAGTTGAATTAAATTCTTACAGCGTATGAGAGGTTGGCAGCGTCAAAACATTAGCAATAGGTGACAATAACGAGTGCTGGAGGATTTATTTAGTTATTTATTTAGATCCATTTCTTCAGTATAAGAAGCCATACTATCAGAACACCGCAATACAGATACAACTAATAGGCTACTTATTCTGCAGAAAAACTTTCACCATTTGTGCTTAAGAGTATATGAATTTATATGACTACTGCTTATGTTGAAGATTAAGCTCAGTTTTAATATTTCATGTCATTCTATAATGATCATAGCGTATGCAGAGATGACACATATTTGTCCATTTTAATATTCAGCTGAGCATGAATGGAATGTCAGAGTGGTGTCTGACAGTATATATGTATGTTATTATAATGAACACAGTGTATATATGTATGAATGTTTGATTCAAAGATAAGATTAGACATTTAAAATAAATGAATAACAAACAAAAATCTAGCAGGTTGAGCACTGTGTGAAGCAGGAAACATTCAAGCAGATGAAAAATATATTAAATGAAAATACTGAGCTTATCGTTGATCAGCTTGGATTGTGTAGATCACAAATCTTTTGGTCTGAATCTTTTTTTATTTAATTCTTATAATATCCATCGTGACTCTCTTTTTCATCAGTGGAACTCTGTCCCAGTCTGCTCCACCACCGGGAGATTCTCCGCTGTCCACGATGTCTTCACTGTGGATGCCATGTTTGTGTCTTATCTATCGTAGGTCCTGCAGGGAAATGGTGTGACTATGTCTCTCATCATACCGTCCCTCATTGGACTTGATAAAACCTTGGAGAATTGTGTCACCAACTACACCCACTTCTGCAAGGCCCTGCGCACAGGCCTCTACACACACTTCCAGCCAGTGATTCACCAGAAGGACATGATACTAGCTGCTGTGCTGGATCCTAGGATCAAACTGCAGGTACCAAATTAGGCCAGAAGCATAGCGGACTTCTGTAGATTTATATTTAACTGAATATGCGTGTTGAGTAGATATAGGAAAAAAATGTGTGTACATTTAAAACAACCATTTTTTTTGCAGCCGTTTTCTGATGACAACCAGGATGAACAGAATGATTTCCTAACACCTCCGTCAAAATCTGAGGCTCGCAGCATTGTTGAGTCCACATTAGAAAACATGGAAGCCTCAACATTTCCTACTGTTGAGGCAGAGAAAGATCAGACAGGCAGTGGGCTGGAGCACGATGTGAAAGAAGAAAGCCAGACAGATGGCGTGATGGACACTTGTGCTGGCAGCTCAGACAACAACTGTCCTGAAATCAGTGAAAACGACCTCAAGAGGAAGTCCATCTTCAACTTCCTTCAGCCGCCTGCAAAGACTCTAAAGATGTCAGAGTTCGACGTGTACCTGTCTGAACCGCTGTGGGAAAGCAACTCTACTCTTCAGTACTGGAAATGTGCTTCTCGATTCCCGAAGCTCCAAGGCCTCGCCAAGAAGCTGCTGGCGGTGCCCGCCACATCTGGAGGTTTTGACCGTTTCAGTCCGATGGCTGCGTGCATTGTGAAAGCAAAAAGGAACCGCTTGCCACCTCACACCACAGAGAGACTGCTACTATACAAAAACTCTGTAAAAGTGAAGACTGTTAAAAAGCCCAGTCGGGCTGCTAAACACTGATGGATAACAGCTGAGTGTGGCAGAGGTTTCACAGCATTAAACAGAAACTCTGCCTCTACTTTTAAAAACTGTGCCATACGCTAAGAAGGAGGGTGAACTGCTAATACCTCTTATATTGTAGCAAATGAATCAGCTGACTCTTTCTTCTTAGAACGCATTTGCTGGTCTGCATTAAAAAAACAAAACAACAAGTCCTGTGTTACAGCTGGTTTCATCAGTTTGTTAAAAGGACGCATTCTGGTCAATGATCCTCACAGCTTCATACCTGCAGCAGCGATAGAGATGCACACTGTCTCTGCGTGCTGTACGGTGCTGCTCAGAGTTGTACTTTGTCCCTTCCACACATGATTCAAGTCAGAGCTCTCTACTGGATTGGGAAATGGCAAATTAGAAATGGAGTCGGTGAATGAATGGCATCTGATTCACTTCAAACCAAAATGAGTTCAGCTTGTATCGTTCTTTTGCAGAATTTCATGTTTTCTGACTGCAACTTTTGTTAAGACAGTAATAAAATGTCAAATCAGAGGTTGAATGCTTATTTATTTCCACTATGCACTGATAAATGAGATATTTGCTGCCAAACGTGATGGAACAGTAGATCTTTATATTGAATTTGGCTATTCAGTCCCTCCACCCCAAAAGTCATTTATATTTTATAGTCAAATGAGAAATCCACTGTACATTTCTTTCAGGCATTACAGTTTTGTTTCATTCATTCTAACGTGAAATACAACAGTGTCAGCATCTTTTCAGCTTTTTATCAGACTTGTCTTTCACCATTTTCAAATAGCCTAATCAATAATTCATGTACTTTCATAGATGCTGTTGTTTTCCTCAAAACCATAGATTTTTAAAAAGAAAACATTTTGCTTGGATAAACTATAATGTCTGATGGAAGTTGATGGAAAAGCTTCATTTAGTTTGGCTTTGTCAGGTAGGCTGATGTTGGCATTGAATGACAGCTACCTGATTTTACTGCGGTAAAGACCGATAATGTGTTGAAAATTAAAACCAGTGTTATGAGTGCTGTGATCTCCTCTGAGAAGCATTCAAAAAGTTTTTGCTTGCATTAAACATTGGAGTATGTATCAGCTGTGTTATCAAGAAACTGAGATATCTGCTAGAAACTGGAATATTGGAATATGTCTGATATTAAAGACAGTTTGCGACTGAAGAAAACTGTGAGAACATTTTTTTTAATCCTCTCATTGATTCATCTTCATTTGAAACTGCGTCAAATCAGCTGCCAATAAGTAATTTAAATGCATTCTATTTTATTTTAGTGTTATTATTCATTTATATTTTATTGCGTCATTGTAGTGCATTTTACTTGTTTTAGTTGCATTCTAGTTTGTAAAGCAAGTTGTGCAGCATGGGCTGTTGGAAATGTGCTCGATCAATAAACCTGACCTTGACCATGTGTGGAGGGAGCCAGAAACATGCTGCTGTTTGCACATATTTAATAATGGGCTCTGCAGAGGAGCTAAAGAAGAGTCCAGCATGTTGCTCTGACTGTGTAACTCCTAAAGGTACAGTAACGGCAACATTGCCTAGTGACTGATCAGGCCAGTAACATTTCTGTTTCTCATATAAACCATCTCAGTGACTTCAGCAGAGATATTTTGTTAGTTAGGGTAAATACAAGGATTAGCTACCGAACATGTGCTTTTGCTCAATGTCTGACTGCGAGTGACTGAGAATGTGTTTACTTTAAAAAATGAAATATGTATTTGGCCACAGTAACTAAAGGTTCGCTAACTAAAAACTAACTAAAATGTAGCTTTAAAAATAGCTGAGAACAGCCTATTTTAATAACCTCACTCCACTTCCTGCCACTGTACAAAAATGAAGCCAAAATTCCCTTTTCATGGGGACTGCCATCACTTTGTATTTTTGAAGCCAGTGTGTGCGTAGTAGTGAATAAAAGCAGATCAAAAGTACTCAAATACAACCACTTGTACACATCAAAAGAAAAATTCAGTTCACATCAATTTTATTTGTGCCAATTTTAAACCTTTATTATATTATATAATATAATATTGCAAGGTAACATCCCTACAATAACGCAGAGATTGTAGGGAACTGGTAGGAGGATTTTTTAGATGTGGTTGGGTTTGGCTGAAAGCCGGCGCTTGAGTATTTTTGTAGCAGGATTGTATACTCTACGTAGAGTTGACTGGGAAGTAAGTTCAGGTGAATGGGGATGAAACATTTCTTCTTCTGCCTTGGGAGTAACAGTGGACTTGAGGTTGAGTGAGCTCCTAGACTCAGACTGCTTCTTTGAGTTGTCTACAGTTTTAGACCGGGCCCTAGTGGAAATAGGAGGTAGCAGGCCATGCACTGCTTTTAGCTTACTGTCATATGTGGTAAGCTTGTTACCCTTTTTACCCTTAAGGTCTCTAATTTCTTTCTGTTGTTCTTTCAGCTCATTGTCGCCTTTGGATGGAAAGTATTCCACATTACTCAGGTCAAATCTCACCTTTTTCCGGGCTATTTGTTCATCCCCATCCTTTCTTTGCTGCTCTGGGAGGCTTTTTTCTCGACTTGCACAGTGCGGCCGAGCGTGTCATAAAGTCCCTTCAGCTGTTGCAGCAGATCGTCATTTTCTTTTTTCTGTACTGCATTCTTTTGTCGTTGAATGCCAATGTCAGTTTCCAGTTCTTCTATTACTTGCTCAAGCTTAAATACTGTGTGTTTGGACTTTGTCAGAGCTTTCTCAACCTCTTCTTTGTCCTCCACAGTTTGCGTCAACTTTGACTTCACTGTGAAGAGGTTGTCATTTGCAGAGCTAAGCTGTTTCTCGTGTTCTTTCTTTTGTTCTGCCTGCTGCAGTTTGATAATGTCCAGCTCAGTCTTTACAGCATTATAGCTGGTCTTAGCATTGGCAAGGTCTACGTTTGTCTCTTGGAGTTCTTGAGCCTTTTCTTTGATTTTATTCTGAAGTGTCTTTATAGTGTCTCTAACTGTATAGAGTTCGTTCTCAATGCAGAACTTTGTCTCAGAAAGGAGCACTTTATCAGACCTAAGATTTTCACGTCTCTTTATCTCCAGTTCCAGATCGTTTTCTGCTTTGCTAAGAGCAGTTTTCAGACGGGCTATGTTATTTTTTTGGGATGAAATTTTCTTCCCAGACTCCTGCGTCTCATTTTCAAATATAATTATTTGCTTAGTTTTAACCTCAAGGCAGTTTTCCAGACGGTCGATAGTAAAACGTTGCCTTGCCAGCTCCTTTATCTGACTTTCAGATTCCAGGACTTTAGCTTTTAACTCTTTCCTCAACGTTATGTTGTTACATTCCTTCTTCCTAAGACGTACTTTCAGTTCATCATTTTTCTTTGTCAGTTGGTTTTTCTCATCTATTGCCCAGCGCTTTCCCGCTTTATACTCCTCATTTTGTCTTTGACACTTTTTAAGTTCAGCCTGTAGTTTCTCTTTTTCTTCTTCCACACTTTTAACTTTCTGTTGACGGCAGTACACCTCCCCAGGTAGTGTAAGAAGCTCGTCTATCCTTCTTTCAAGGAAGTCATTACGATGAATGTACTTCTCATTGTTCTGAATCTCAGTCTGAAGCTGCTCATTTTGTTTCTGCAGTTCTTTAAGTGTTTCATTTTTTTCCTCAGTCGTCTTGCTTAGCTTCAGCTTGAGTTCTTGTTTTTCCTGCTCATTTTTGATTTTAAGGACAACCAGAGATTCCACCTCCTTTTCTTTCTTGTCCCGCATCGTTTTTTCAGTGGCACACTTATTTTCAAGGTGTTTGATTGCCTTATGAAGAGCCCGAATTTTTGCCTCATATTTGTTTGTGAGATCTACATTCTGTGACTCTGCGGACCTTAGCTGGGATTTGGTTTCCAGCAAAACATTTTCCATTTTTTCCATCTTTTCATCTTTGGATTCCTCTGTCATCTTCGCAACCAGTTCCTGTTCTTCTTTCAAAGATGCCTCAAGACTTGAAATCTTAGAATTCTTTTCATCGATTTCCTCAAGCTGAAGCTTTTCAGCTTGTTTGTAATTTTCTATCTCATATCTGAGCACCTGCATTTCTTTGGACTCCTCTTTCATCTTCGCAACCAGTTCCTGCTCTTCTTTCAAAGATGCCTCAAGACTTGAAATCTTACAATTCTTTTCATCGATTTCCTCCAACTGAAGCTTTTCAGCTTGTTTGTACTTTTCTATCTCATTTCTGAGCACCTGCATTTCTTTGGACTCCTCTTTCATCTTTGCAACCAGTCCCTGCTCTTCTTTCAAAGATGCCTCAAGACTTGAAATCCTACAATTCTTTTCTTGGATTTCCTCAAGCTGAAGTTTTTCAGCTTGTTTGTAATTTTCTATCTCATTTCTGAGCATCTGCATATCAAAGTAGCTTAGGGAGCTCATTTTGAAATGAATGTATTTAGTTTAGTTTATACGACGTGTTATTCTGTGTTTGAAAAATGATCTACTCAATGAGACAAAGTGTTCGCAAGTGGAAACTGTTAGTTCAGAACTATAGCGATCTATGGGTTCAAGGTATGTACTCGAGGGATATTTATAGGCTCTGACTCCGCCCCCAGAACTGTCTTCAAAGGAATTCAAGTGACGTTATCGCCGAACGTCGTGACATTCAAAGGACAGTCTATTATGATGTCATTTTGTACCAGAATGGGTTCAATTTGATATTGTGTCTTTGCAAGTTTGTTCAACTTGCATTGCGATTTCTTTTTTTAGCAGACTTTAGCGATCCTTCTACTTGGGCTGTCTTCAAGTTTAAGGTATCTGTCGTTTCCCACCGTATCCCGCCCCGATCGATCCATTTATGTACGAGCCCATCCGCCCCCGGATCCGTTCATCGGGGCTCATCGCTACTGTTGTAGTCACTTGTCCGGAGCTAACAACAGCTGTTGAGCTGACTATTAAGCTAACATTATGCCCGCTAGTGTTACGTGTCCTACAAGTCACACTTTTTCTGTGATAAACAGTTGAATTAAATTCTTACAGCGTATGAGAGGTTGGCAGCGTCAAAACATTAGCAATAGGTGACAATAACGAGTGCTGGAGGATTTATTTAGTTATTTATTTAGATCCATTTCTTCAGTATAAGAAGCCATACTATCAGAACACCGCAATACAGATACAACTAATAGGCTACTTATTCTGCAGAAAAACTTTCACCATTTGTGCTTAAGAGTATATGAATTTATATGACTACTGCTTATGTTGAAGATTAAGCTCAGTTTTAATATTTCATGTCATTCTATAATGATCATAGCGTATGCAGAGATGACACATATTTGTCCATTTTAATATTCAGCTGAGCATGAATGGAATGTCAGAGTGGTGTCTGACAGTATATATGTATGTTATTATAATGAACACAGTGTATATATGTATGAATGTTTGATTCAAAGATAAGATTAGACATTTAAAATAAATGAATAACAAACAAAAATCTAGCAGGTTGAGCACTGTGTGAAGCAGGAAACATTCAAGCAGATGAAAAATATATTAAATGAAAATACTGAGCTTATCGTTGATCAGCTTGGATTGTGTAGATCACAAATCTTTTGGTCTGAATCTTTTTTTATTTAATTCTTATAATATCCATCGTGACTCTCTTTTTCATCAGTGGAACTCTGTCCCAGTCTGCTCCACCACCGGGAGATTCTCCGCTGTCCACGATGTCTTCACTGTGGATGCCAGTGAACACAAGAAAACTAGCAAATATCATTCAACATTGATAGTGCCCACACAGCTGTGCAAGTTATTCATGTCATGAGCAATAGTGCACCCCTGTAAAATTTACAATTGCTTTGCTTTTGAAGTGTGCTTTGATAAACCCAGATTGTCCTCCTCTCCTTTTTAGACTAGGTCTCACACCATCTGTGAGTTCAGGCTCAGGTAAGTTGGGACACTTTAGTTATCAATCTTGAGGAAAAGGCTGCATCACATTGATCTAAATTTTTTAAAGTAAAGAACAAGTTATTAGCAGAAAGAGCAACATGCTCAGCATTTTTTTTACAGTCTTTTAATCACATGGAGCCAGTTGACCAAATCACTATCATTAAAAATGTGGTATTATTCAATAAAGATAGTGGAAAATCACACCTCCACTCCATACCCCCAGACAAAAAGCAAACTGGTTATTGTGCAGTTTACTGTGCAGACTCAGTACAGAGCATCATCATGTATCCCAAATCCAGAATAGATTTATAGTCTGTGACATCATTGAAGTTGCAACTATCCTGTTTATGCCATGTTTAGAATGAACTGAATCCTGTCAATCGCTACTATTCATATCAATAAATATGTTCTTCAGAACATGCATTGATATTTGCTGTTGGAAAGCACACACAGCCTCCATAAAATCCATGTCAACTTATTTAGTAAAAATATAACTGCATTATCAAAATAGTTTCCACGTTTGCGATGTTTCAGTTCAAAAGTGTTTTAAATCTGCATCAGTGATTTATGTCATTAAATTACCTCGTGATCTTCTTTCTACCGCAGCAACTTAATGTAGCCAGATGGGCTACTCGCCTTCCGTTTTTTTCTTCTCTCGTTCTCTCTCGCTCGCTCTACCACCCTCGCTCTCTTTCCGCTGCACTCGCTCCTTGTATCAGGTGATTGGGTTAATTGGGAACCCACCCACATCAGCAAGAGCCGATTATATGACAGCTACAGCGCAGCAGTCTGTTTAATTCTGCCATTGCGGAGAGAGGTGTTCGTGTTATCTCCACCAATGAGAGTATAGTGCCTCCGGTCCTGGGGGTTTCACTGCTGTACTCACCCCTCCATGACAAATTGCCCAACCTAAATTGGAAGAGTGAACTGCCTTCTCAGCTGCTGTTGTGAACTCCTCCTTGGTGGAGGCTGCTGTCTTGTCTTGTCTTGTTTTTATTAAGTAGGCTTACCTTGTTTTGGGTTCGCCTGGTGTTCTATTTTACCCTGGACTGTTGCTCGTACCCACGCTTCTGTGATCGGGCTGAAGTGATTCTCTGCCCGAGTGTCGTGCTGGGACTCTAAATCGCCTGGGTGGCCGGTCTACGCCTGAGAATAATTATTACCAGCACGAGTGGTAGTTTGACCCGTGGGGAATAAGGGGTGTGTGTGTGTGTGTGTGTGTGTGTGTGTGTGTGTGTGTGTGTGTGTGTGTGAGAGATTTCTTTTATTAAAGTGTGTTTTAGTCTTTTTATGATTTGTAGCGAGCCTGACGCTCAGTGTCCTCTTATTCTTTTAACATATTTTTCTGTGTTTAATTCAGTGAAGGAGGACGAGCCAGTGGCCCTGGGACCTCAGGTGGTGGGTCGTTTTCACACTTTCTTTTGTACAGCACTGGGTGGTCTGCAGTGATTCTTTTTGTGTGATTTCCTTTTGGTTCCACGGCTGCTGGTAAGTCCCAGTTCCACGATGGTTTTATTTTTACTGTAGGACACTGTCAATAATGATGCTACATCTCGACCTTTAATATTTTATTTATAAAATATTATTTATAATATTTTATTCATTTCTATAAATAAAACTGTTTTAATATTGGAAGCCAACCTGCCTCAGTGTGCATCCTTGAATCTATGCGGTCTTCTTTTATTCCTTTTATCTATTTTTCTTAAATATATTTCCTGGGGGTGCAATTCCCCTGGGTGGCGTTGTCAATTTATTTTGTTCATAACCCCGCCGACCACTTGGTCACATTAAGTCTTGCGATTCATGACAAGCCACGCTGTTAAAGCATCTCAAGGAGAGAACATTTGAGGACAACTTGTTTGCATTGGAGCCAGGCACCAGAGGGCGATAGAGACGTTTTCTACTGTCTTTGATCCGGCACCAGTTACTACTACTTACGTCAAAAGAAAAACAGTGCGTCAACGAGTACTTCCGGTGTCGTGACCTCTCCTCTCACGTGTGCACGGAGGAAAAGTATAGAAGAAGCTGCTTTTACAGAGCTCAAATAAACTCGCTCGTTGTTTCCTGCTCAGAACTAAAGAAAGAAAAGGAGTGTTTGAGCGCAGTAGGGAAAAAAAACCCTCTTTCGCCATGGCTCTGTACCTGAAAGCAGCAGAGATCACGGAGAAGGTCGAGGGTAAACAGGGGGCTTTGAAAACTCTGGTTTACGACAGTCAATTCAAGAACATCAAACAGCTGTTCGCTCTGGTTTGTGAGACCCAGAAGTTTTCCTCCGTCCTGCAGGAGATCATCGAGTCCACCAAGCTACTCAGGCATACCAAGCTAAAGATGCCCCTGGCTAAGGTGCTCGTGTACGACCTGTTGATAGGCCAGGGGCTGAAGTGTGGCGGATCCTGGAAGGCCATGATGATGAAGCATCGCTCCAGACTGCAGGCGGAGTTGGCTCGCATGAAGGTGAAGCAGAAGGTAAGCAGGAATGAAGACCTGCTTCCTTGCAGTGTCAAGCACCCCGCTGGAGACCAGTTGCCCAGATATGTACGTGTGAACACTCTGAAGACCACTGTGGAGGATGTTGTGGACTACCTGAAGAGGGATGGCTTCTCCTACCTGGGGAAGGCTTCCAGGCTGGAAGACTTATCCCTGAAAGACAGATACTTTTTGAGTGACCTGCACCTGCCAGAGCTGCTGGTCTTCTCTCCTAAAACTGACTTCCATGACCACTTCCTGTACAAAGCAGGCCACATAGTTCTGCAGGACAAAGCCAGCTGCCTCCCCGCTCATCTCCTTAGTCCTCCACCTGGTAGCCACATCATTGATGCCTGTGCCGCACCTGGCAACAAAACCAGCCAGCTGGCAGCCATCATGAAGAACAAGGGCAGGCTGTTTGCTTTTGATTTGGATGGAAAGCGCTTGGCCACCATGTCAACGCTCCTGCTCCGTGCAGGGGTCACCTGTCAGCAGCTGGCCAACCAGGACTTCCTGAAGGTGGACCCCGACAACCCGCAGTATAAGGATGTTGAGTACATCCTGCTCGATCCCTCCTGCAGTGGTTCAGGTAGAGTGACCAGTTATCCCTGTGTTTGTATGACTGCAGTAGGGTTCTTTATAACATCTGTGCATATGTATCTTCAATTTATGACACTTTAGTTTACTTTGAATGCAAAATGTATCATATTTATTTCATTTTTAAACATTGAATTTGTTGTTTATGTAACAAACCTTAGTCACAGATGTGGGTGTCCAGAGTAGAAACTGGAATAGAAACCCGTTTAGGCATCACCGATCCATCCTTCCTCTCTCAAGTTCAAGCAAATACTGCAAAACTTTGCTGCGTTTCA